TTATTTAGCGGCACCTCCATGCAGCTCTCTATTTTGCGCAAATGAAGGAGGCATTTTTAGTGGGATCGAATTCTCTAGTCTCGTTTAACTTTAAGAAGCACTTCACCAAACATGGGTTGTGGGTGTTATTTAAGCTAGTCTAGTCCAATAAGGACTACCAAATTAAGAGTCCATAATTCACTATCTTCTTAGGGCCTCTTGCTTCATTTTTTTAGTCTAGTTCTCTTCTTTTTGAGCATTTTGATGTGTTTTTTTTAAGTTTTGATAGGTCTAATCAAGAACATAAAGCAAAGAAGACGTTCTCCTACTAAGACTAGGAAAAGGTAGTTTTCCTTTTTGGGGAAGGAATCCAATTCAAAGGATGAAAGCAACGTTGATGGAAAGCTCGTAGGCATTGAATTAGAAAGTTTCCCTTCTTAACGAAGAAAACCGTCTGAAATAGGAAAGAATAAGATTCTAGATGCTTCTAGAAGGTGCCATATTATCATGCCATGTCATCAAAGCCAGCTCATCATCCTACAACATTCCTAAAACTCCTAGTGCAGAATTGTTAATTTCTCAAAGTCGGTGTGAATTCCTCATAATGAATGCCCTCATGAGTCTTATATCGTTGGAAAGATCTAGAAGTTAGCTTTCTGTAGCAGTTTACATTTTGTGATTTGGATACACGTAGAAGGAGTTAAGGCATTTTAAGTAAAGAGTGCTCATTTCAGGAAAGTCCTTGCATCCCAAGCAACTTTGCCTAGCTGTTCGTTCGGAGAGTTAGAAAAGCTACTTCCAAGTTAAATAAGGAGAAAGAAGAGATGCTCCTCCCCTCTACAAAAGCAAGGGATACACCTCTTATTCAAGGAGAACTCATTTGGCCCCAAATTAGTTCAATTCAGAGAGAAGCTTGGAGCAGCTGTCGTCCGCCTTGCTGTCGCCACCTTATTCTTCAGTTCTTCTTATTTTCTCTATGTTTTTCTTGTGTATTATTTATGACTATATCTACCTAAGACTAGGATAATGCCCTAATTTTATTATTCATGGTTTTGGATGTTAAGTGTTGAAATAAAAAATTCATTGATAACAAATTAAATTATAGCCCAAGTTTAAAGAAGTTGGGCTCAAATCTAAAATGGTCTTGTGGACTTTTTGCTAAATTGGTTTAGGCCCAAAATGAATTATGATGCCCTAGATTCCAAAGATCTTCAATTTGGAAAGTGGAAAATTGATGATGCTATCGTGAAAAGTTGGATGATGTGCACTATGGAACCTAGTTTGTTGAATGCATTTCATACTTACTTACTGTCGTGCTCACATGGATTCTATGTTATGCCTTATCCACTACCATACTCACAGGGTTTCTATGTTCTGCCTTACCTACTGTCGTGCTCATAGGGTTTCTGTGTTCTGTCTTATCTATTGTCATGCTCACAGGGTTTCTGTGTTCTGCCTTATCTACAGCCGTGCTCACAGGGTTTATGTGTTCTTCTATGTACCTTATTTGTTAGGGTTTGTCAGTGCCGTGCTCACAGGTTTTTTGTGTTCTACCTTACCTATTGTCAAGCTCACAGGGTTTCTGTGTTATGCCTTATCTACTGTCGTGCTCACAGGGTTTAACTTTTCTCTTGTGTTTCTGCTGCGATCTTTACTTTGGTTTGCCAGTTGTTCCATTCGTGGTTGACAAAAAGACCTTCTCTACAATTTGTTTGTCTCAAGTATGGTGTTCTATGACTCGATTGTCAAGTTGGGCATGCGAAACATCTTTGTGCCAACTTGAGGGGGAGTGTTGGCGAGTCCTTATTTAGTTAGGATTTTGGTTTCTTATTTAGTTAGTATTTTGGTTACTTACCAATTATTATTTAGTCCTATTGTAATAGAGATTTATTTCCTATTGTAATTTAGATATATTTCCTATTTTATTTAGGGTTAACACATCTTTGTATTTGTATAAATACCTCATATTGGAGAAGAATAATAATATGAGCGTATATCAGCATAATTGAATATTTGCCATACTTTGTTTGACTTAGTAGTCATAATACAATACTTAGTTTGTTTGATTCCTTGTTTCCATTGAACTTAATGAATTCCTAGGTTGCTAGAGTTCTTGAACATAGGTGATTTAAATTTAGGGATATTAGACCTATGCCCTAATATGGATAGTAATCTTAAATTAGGGAAACTTGGCTTTAGTGCCCTAAGAAGGACTTAGGTACAAAATCTTCATCAATTAAATTTGTTGAATTTGTTAACTTGCATCCTAGAAACTTGGGTAATAGAATTAGTGGTAGAATATGATGCCTTACTAATTATCATAATCGACTTATAACCCTATCTTTAAATGTTGCTTTGCTTTTTCTTGTTTGATTAATTTGTTTTTGTTTTAATTGCATCTTTATTTAATTGTAGTTTAGGTTTAGGCTCCACTACACAACACTTCTCTACTTCGCTTTACTTGGTTAAGTGTTCTTGTTTTGTTTGTTTGTTTAGTTTAGTTGAGTCGTAAGTTGAAAACCCATAAACAGAGTTATGCATTAGGTTAGGTTAAAGAACTAGAATTGATTATTAATCTCTGTGGGAACGATACTCATAATTGCGTCACACTATACTATAAATCGATTTGTGCCCTTGTGTGAGTTTTAATTTGATCTAAAATGATCTAATATTTAGGTTAGTTTAAAGGCACATCACCAAACAAGCCCGAAAAATTTTATCTAGCTTAGACCAAGCCAAGCCAAGTCAATTTAGGACAGTCCCTAAGCATAATCCATACCAAGATAGTCATGCAGAACTATACTTGACTTTCGTACGAATAAGATCAGAATCAGGGGATTCCAATTCCAATCCAAAAAATTTCAGAATTTCAACATCCATTCCAATTTGAAAAACGTGGAATTTTTGGAACATACATATTTCAAAAAAATTTGGAAAATTTGGGAAAATAATTGAAGTTTTAAACATTTTCATTGATTTGAAAAGTTAAAATTGGCTCAAAACTGGAAAATCATATGGTAAAGCTCGAAAAACTTTTATATGTTATTACTTAGATGTTGTTATCCTTTATGAAATAATCCGTCTATGTCTATTTGGTCATTAAGTCAAATTTAGTTTAGCTTGAAATTTGTCATTATGTGTAGTCTAAGCTTGAAACCCAATATATTTTGGAATTCAGAATACATTCCAATTTCAATCCAATTATTTTCGGATTTAATAATTTTCGACAAGCATAATTTGCCAATGGTGGGATGTGAATTTGGGGATGTATATTTTGGACAAGCATAGAAACATCGAAGAGAAAGAGCACAAACATTTAAGTTGGATAATGGCAGACTCGCTCGCCCCAAAGATGGACTTCGTTATTTAGCAGCACCTCCATGCACCTCTCTATTTTGTGTGAATGAAGGAGGCTTTTTTAGTGGGCCTAGATTTTATAGTCTCATTTAACTTAAAGAATCGCTTCACCAAACATGGATTGTGGGTTATTTAAGCTAGTACAGTCCAATGAGGCTTACCAAGCAAGCCCGAAAAGTTTTATCTAGCTTAGACCAAGCCATGCCAATTCAAGACAGTCCCTAAGCATAGTCCATGCAAGATAGTCATGTGGAACTATGGCTAACTTTCAAACGAATTGGATTGGAATTAGGGGATTCTAATTCCAATCCAAAAAAATTCAAATTTTCACATCCATTCCAATTTGGAAAACTCAGGATTTTCAGAACTTACATATTTTGGAAATTTTTGGAAAATAGTTGAAAATTTTAAATATGATCATTGATTTGAAGGTTAAAATTGGCTAAAAACTGAAAAATCACACAACAAAGCTTGAAAAACTATTAGATGTTATTACTTAGATATTATCCTTTGTAAAATAACTCGTATATGTCTATTTGACCATTAAGTCAAATTTAGTTTAACTTGAAATTTGTTATTATGTGTAGAATATGTAATATAAGCTTGAAACCTCAATATATTTCAGAATTCAGAATACATTCCAATTGCAATTCAAATATTTTTCAAAAAATTTATGTCAGAATTGATTTGGATTCGCCAAAATCAGAATTTCATATCAAAATTGGTCAGAATTTGAATTTCCAATCCAACTTGCACCCTATGCGGAACAAACCGGACCACGAAGCACAAACCGAACCGCCAAACGAGGCCAAGGGACCAAAGCGAAGGAAACGGTGCAGAAGTAGGCAACGTGGACAGCGAAGGAAAGACCGAAAACATGAAGAGAAACCATGAGTTGATGACCGATGAGTCCAATGCTAAACGCGCCCAGATCAAAATCAAACCCAAAATAACAACGCAAACCTCCACCTTCCATTTTGATTCATTCATATCCGAGTGCAGAAACAGAAACATCAAATTCAAATAAAAACAAAAACAAAAAATTATATTTCTGAATATAAGCTAGAACGATGACCATGCTCATGGGCTTGCCTTCCCACCTTCCCTGCTCTTCCGTGAGTCCTTTTCCCCTTTCACTTTCTTCGCCTTCCTTTCATTTTGTTTCTTTACTTTGTTTTTAACTGTCATACTTGCACTTGATATATTTTGGATTTTTGTACATTTCTGGGTTTTCTCTAGTTCCTTTTTTTTTCTTTTGTAAATTATGATTAGAGGTGACCATGAAAAGGAAAATGGGAAACAGTAATCATGTTGGGTGTTCAAGAAAATTTGAGAAAACATATGAAATATAATCATGTTGGATATTTTGAGTAATACTTGTACAAAAGAAGTTGAAGTTTCAATAATTTGTTCAAGATGTTAGACATCTTGAGTATACTTCTTATCGTTGTTGTTCAAATTTGAAGACTACATAATGCAAAATTATTTCGTAATGTTGTTTTAGCAATTCTGCGGTGAAATCAATATTCTTTACTAGTTTTTGGAAGCAGACATTTGGTTTGCCCTTAGCATTTTGTTCAATTTCAGCTGGGATTGACGAAACCAAATTGTTTACTTTTAATTTCCAGAGTTGCAGAACTGCTAGAGAATTGCTGGGGAATATCATGACAGGCAAGTGTGGCCATGTTAAATACCAAAGTTTACAGTATTAGTAACTCTAACTTTGTTACTCTGCAAGTATGGTGTATCTGAATATATGATTGATTCTATCTTCTTGAAATCTCTTTTATATATACAGATATTATTCGATCAAGTAGCACAAATTTGCAATTACCGAGTAGTAGAAGAAGAGTCATTTCTTTTCAGGGCTCCGTCAAGTCTGTCCAAACTTCTTGTCGAATATCTGTCCCAGGCACCTCATCAACGAGGGAAGAAAAAGTGCCTTCGAGCTTCTTGAGGGACAAGAAGTTGATTCCTGATTCAGATCCTCCTAGCATGCAAGATGTCAACCTTTTGTATCAGTTTTTTGATCAAAGGTCTATCAGATGCCCTCATCTATGTGGTTTGAATTCTGTGTTCTTTGTTGCATATAAGCTTTTCTTCTGTGCTGGAAACGATTTATATTTTTGACTGCATATGTTGAATATTTGTCTTTATCAGTTTTCCTTTTTCTTTTATTTACTATCTTGCAGTACCAAGCTTATGGTGTTGACAGGAGCTGGAATTAGCACAGAATGTGGAATTCCTGACTACAGAAGGTTCCATCTCTTTTTTTTAATATGGTTGTTCAAGATTATGAGTTCCATACTGCCTTGTTTTTGCGTTCTCTAATAATGAAGAACTTTTAAAATTGAACTTTTGAAAATAGGTTGCTTCTAACTTCGTCTTTTGCCCCTATCTTTGTGAGACCTATTATTGCCTGTTGAATTGACTCTAATAAGTAATATGTTGATGACGTTGAGTAGTGATTTCCAACCGTTATGTTCTCTATTGCACTATTAAATTGTTCAGTCAACATTTGCTGATGGCTTTTCAAAGCCTGCCTTTTTCATTCGTATTGATTTGTTATATCCACGTATTTTGAGAGAGAATGTTCCTTGCGTAATGGTATGGTTTGTTCCAAGTGGCCTTGTATCATGGATTTGAGTCACAGAAACCTCTTTGGAATTATGGGTAAAGCCTGTGCACATCCTGCCTTCTCCAGACCCTGCATTCTCAGCATTGTAAAAGGAATGTTCCGTTAGAAATGAGAGCACTGTGCACTGCCATGTTTTGTGCATAGCAACGGACCTTTGAGCATTACTGAGTAGCCATTCTTTCTCTGCATTTTTCTATTTTCTTCAATTCATCTGGTTTTGTGTGTGCAAGTTCTGATTGAAATCTCAACATTTTTGACTATTTTATTTACATTTTTTTTTGGTCAACAATATTTGACATGCTGCATGTTCATCCTTTGGAGCAAATCAGCGAAAAGAATAAGTCAACCTAGGTGTCTTAGTTTTTTTTTTTAGTCAATTGGAGATACATAATATACTAATAAGTGATATTTTCTTCTGCTGCAGCCCAAATGGAGCTTATAGCTCTGGTTTCAGACCAATTACCCATCAGGTGATCAGAAGGCATGTGCTGTGAGGGCTCCTTTAGCATTGTTTACATCATCAGAAGTGTTCAAGTTTTACTTTTGATGGTTTAAAAAAAGTTGTGAGCTAAATTAGATAATATAAAATAAGACCCTAAACAGAAAAAAGCAAAACTCTCATACTGGTCATATAGATATAATTGAGATAATGATAAGTCTATACTCTCCTGGTGTTAACTAGTAGACTAGTTATTTGAGTGATGGAAGTACATGGAATCTGTTTATACCATTGATTTAAAATTTAAATAGTGTACGATATTTTGAATCTTGCTAAATTGAAAATGAGTTGGTGCCAATAATTGATTTCAAAGCTTTCAATTATGGTTGTTCTGTATGCATCAGACCTGAAATAAAAAGTTAAACATTTCATTTTTGAATGGATTTGTAACTTGACATATGCTGGTATAGAAGTTATCTTTTGGTTCTTAAAATTGATGAAAGGAAAGAGAGACATCTTTTCCTGTTTTCTTTTTTCTTTTGGCAAACAAAGAGAGGTGTTGAGTTTAGTATTATGAAGTAATTATGTTCAATGAACGACAGCCTCTGGTTTAGGAAGTTGTCAGCATGTGATATTCAATATCTTACATCACTCATGCTTTTAAACAAGGAACTGGAGCCGTTCAGCAGAAAAGTTATGTTTACATCTCCATACTAGTTATAGATGTCTTTTAGTTGGCACATGATATTTTTTTAGCAAAGTATTTCAATAAAAGATTCACGTGATGTATCGTTGTGACATCGGTCTCTACTCCGTTCTTTCTTATGCATGTCTTTAACAAAGATTATCTTCCTTTTAAAAAAAGAAAATTAAGACAAAAATTCAACATGGTTAATTTTTAATATAACTCTTTTCCAGATGGAGTTCATTTACTGCTGTTTATGTTGTATAATATATTCTCACAGCTCTGCCTTTTACTTCTGCTTTTGCTGCATTTGATGAACAGGAGTTTCTCCGTTCAATTCGGGCCCGGAGGCGATATTGGGCAAGGAGTTATGCTGGGTGGAGACGGTTTACTGCTGCACATCCTGGTCCAGCTCATATTGCTTTAGCATCCCTAGAAAAAGCTGGCAGGATAAACTGTATGATTACACAAAATGTTGATAGGCAAGTAGCTGTATGTTTCTTGGGCTGTGTTGTTTCAAGGATTATTGAGGAAAAGACACTAAATTATGGAAATCAGCATCCTGGATTTCAATTCAGATAAAGAATCGTACGACTATGTTTAGAAATTTCTAAGGTTAATATTTAAGATATGTCAGCTAGAAAAAATTTTAAAAGCTCAGACTATCAATGAATTATAGTCAAATGATTCCCAGAAAATCTAAATCAGTACCAAACCAATTGCAAATTAGAAAAGAAAAAGTTTTCGCATCAAACTTTTTCAAAGAAAGATGTTTCTGGCCTGTGGAACTAAATTTCATTGTCCTCTTTCAGGTTGCATCACCGTGCTGGTAGTAACCCAGTTGAATTACATGGGACTGTATATTCTGTGGTTTGTATAGAGTGTGGTTTTTCCTTCCCTCGGGATCTATTTCAGGACCAAGTTAAGGCCCTTAATCCAAAGGTTAGTCTTGTGCAGTTTATTATTCGAGGATAATTAATGGCTGTTTAACATGTAATGTCATGTTTGTTAGAAATGGATTTTATGAAGACCCTTGATTTATATTTAGTGAAATCATTTTAGGATTGTCTTTTAAACTTTGCTCTTCAATATTCCTGAATGGAATTTTAGTGCTAACATTGATGTCGTGATAAATTCAGACCACTAGAAGCTCAGATACTAGTTAATTCTGGGCAAACAGACCCACTGTTACTGATGGCTCGAGACAACAGTGGATGTGATTCAAATAATGGAAATCTAGCCTACTTACAAAAATAACCCTAGATGATATTACTCCAATCGTTGTCGGAGCCTATATCTCTAGAGGGAAACCTGTAAAAGCCTAATTTATTGAGAAACAACCAATACTTTGATAAATAACAGTATAATCTAATCTGCCCAGACTATGGGTATTGAACCCCTTTGTAATTTACTAACTAAAGGCTCTTCCTCCCTAAACACACTTTAGCATTCTCACAGTTCATCAATGATAAACCTTCAGTCTACCCGAAAAACGAGACTCTTTGGCTAGACTTTAATAACAAGACACTGTTCTGTATTGCATAGCATCATTCTTACCTACATTAATCCCTCCTCCTTGGAAAAAACTTGCCTTGTAATGTTTAGGTTGTCAAGAACTTCTTTGACTTCCATGGATGGGTTGGGAAATATTGAATGTGGTGAAGATTTATACTAGAAAAAAGAATGGAAAAAGATGTCTTATATTGTTTTCTCGCTAAATTAAAGGTGAATTGCTTAAAAATTCTTCCATAGACATGTGTCATCTGTGGGCAGTTGAATATATTCTTGTGAGTCTGGGACTCTGTGACTGATGATATTGTTGCCTGTGTTTGTCTGCAGGAACTTTCTTTGATATGTAAATTATTTTTTTTTGTGTCCCAAGTAAAAATTTTCGAGATATTTCATGAGTTATAGAAGTAAACTCTGGTTTGGTTGCAAACTCATGTTTCCATTGTGATGCATTTATCAGAATGGTGGCCTAATGAGCAATTAAAAATTGATTTTACTGCAGTGGGCAGAGGCAATTGAGAGATTGGACTATGGTAACCCTGGATCAGAAAGGAGCTTTGGCATGAAGCAGAGACCTGACGGTGACATTGAAATTGATGAAAAATTTTGGGAGGAGGAATTTCACATCCCTACTTGTCAAAAGTGCAATGGAGTGCTTAAACCTGATGTAAGACATTTGCCTAGCGAATTTCAAATTTTAGCAACTGAGAGGAATGAGAGTAGCTATTTCTTCATGTCAGGAATGGTGATGCTAATCATTTAGTTCTTCTTTTTTCATAGGTCCTTGGATAGATGTGCAAGCATATTATATGCGATCTTTATTATAGTGTTGAATCATCAATAGTACTTGCATATTATTCTCAGAAGCTGGAAAAGTTTCAAGACAAGAAACAGGTTATCAGAGAATTTATGTGATACCTTTTTTATAGTGGTACTTGTCTATTGAGTGAACCTGACCAATAGTCACATTAAATATCTAGAAGCATCTCATGCGAAAGGACCAAAGTTTTCACTAAAGTAAAAGAAAGTCTTTTTCTTTTTTTGGATAGAAATTGGCATAAAAATGATGGGTTCCTTGGTCCCTAAAAATCTGATTGCTGTATGGCACTCACTGAAACAGGAATTCTATGCTCTTTGCAGACTTGATTATAATATTACTTTTGAAAGTTAAGGATTGTCAATATTTTTTGGTGTATTATCTTTCCTAAGAAAGCACTAGCGTTTTAGAACATAGTTTATCACAATTATCCATATAATGTGATATCATTGCTTGGAATGAGAGTTGCTTATTTATGGCCTTGTCTTGCATGCGCTATTCGTTTCTTTTTTATGATTTTTCACCCTTTTTCATTTGCATCAATTCATGCAATAGTTCTGATTCTGAACACTTCTAATATCTTGTACAAGTACATTGGAAATATAAAATCTCAGGGGACTCTTTTTGTTGCATGGTGATCTTGAAGGTTGTCTTCTTTGGTGATAATGTTCCCAAGGATAGAGCTGATAAGACAATCCAAGCTGCAAAAGAATGTGAAGCTTTTCTTGTGCTAGGATCATCCGTAATGACGATGTCTGCTTACCGGCTTGTCAGGTGCATATATATTTTTCATTGTAAATTTTAGTTTTTGATGAAGTCATTTTCATATCTTGGTTTGCACAATTCTCGTACCTAAGACCTTAAAGTGACAGTAAACTTCTGACAAAAAAAAGTAACAGAAAATTTGTAATGTAATATAGGATAAAAATCTGGACACCTTATGCAGTTGAATGACAGTTTCTCCGGTTGACCCGTATCAAGAATATTGACTATAGTGTCGTCAGTTCATTGCTATATGTCATAATCACTCTCGGTTGTGGTGCAAGATGAGGTTTAATAATTCCAGTTAATTGGTGCAGCTTGATGTAAAAAATCTTATGTAAGCAAGGACAGACTTTTCCTGAACAATAAGAGTATATTGGAAACGAAATCCTTATTGTTTATTCTTTGTTTTATCTGTTGAGGGCTTGATTCGTTTATTTATTTCATTCTTTTTTTGCCTTCTGATAAGTAGCTTTAACTTTCCAACTTCTACAGAGCTGCACATGAAGCTGGTGCTGCTACTGCAATAGTAAATGTAGGAGTGACACGTGCCGATGATTTTGTACCTTTGAAAATCCATGCTCGACTGGGAGAGGTATAGATGTTTTTGTTGGCAGCTGGCTCCACAAAATGGTGTTAGCTTAGTGGACTTTAACATGCTTTGCATTGTTGCAGATTCTACCCAGAGTGCTTGACATGGGATCCCTCTGTGTCCCTGCAGTTGGTTGATTTTACGTGGAGAGAGGTATTCAGATCTATAAAAGCTTGCTCTGAGTTTATATGACTAGGTTTTGGAGACCACAAGAAATGAGATGATTTTAATTTTCATCAATAAATCAATTAACTATACTATTTTTCTCAATAGCTTCTTTGCGGAAATGGAAAATTATTCAATTTTCGGAAGTTCAAATTAGTCAAAGAGAAGGCATCAAATTATCTTCTGCGCAACAAGAAAGAGAAAAAGAAGTTGAGAAAAGCCAAAAAAAAAATGTTCTCACGTACGTAGACTGAAACCAATCATTTCATTGGATTGCTGCAAAGACTGTGCATCTTCAATTAAATTATGATTGATGTGAAATTTGTCTGGACACAAATTTGTTGTTGTCATTCGTGATTATACAATATTGGTATTCGTTACCAAATCTTTTTAACTTAGTTGATTAATTGTATTATAAAGTCAATTATTTGCATTGTATTGTGTTGCATCGTATTTTTTTAATAAATCCCCTTTTCTGTACGCACATGGAAGTGAATTTTAGCAATTTTGATTCAGGTACACAGCATGTATTCATACGAACACATTTTAAATAGATTCACAGAATTAAAAAGGTGGGTGTAATTTTTATTTTTTTTTCTTTTTCATGAGACCAAAAACATCAAACTAGAGTGCCAATAGGCTTGGAAGAAAAATTCTGAAACCAAGATTTTAACATTTTTCTATTTTTGCTTTCTGAATCCTTGGCCAAAATTTCTTCAGATTATGGAGCAAACAACAAACTTTTTTATACTAAAAGGGTAAATTGGTAACTTATTCCTCGGATGCAGTAGTTTTGTTCAAAATTTCTTAAGCTTAAATTTACTACCTAAATTCCCCCATATCCCCACTCTATTCCCATGTAAACAAAGAAAACGAGTTTAAAGTTCATTTATTTTATACAAAAGTGCCCACCCGTGGACCAAATTTTGAGCGTTGTGAGCACCACAGACATCTCACTTGTTGAATTAATCCAACGGTAGCTTGTAGCCTTAGTAACTTAAAGAACTCGTAAGACCATAGTCTCTCCAACCCGTTCTGTAACCAGAAAGACGTACATATCCGGATTGTCCTCTCTTTCCCCACCCCACAATTACGAACTCTAATCGAATCGAAACCCTAAAACTCCTCTTTCTAATTCTCGTTCCTATCATCTCCTTCATCTAAGGATGTTTATATTGACCCCCAAAAAGAGACTATATGCAGATATGATCCAAAATCAATATTTGATAAACCAAAAACCAAAAACCAAAAATGCAGCACTTGTCCCATTCTCTTTTGCCAACATAACCCTCTTTGTGCGACCTAGACTGAAGTTAATCGGTCACCAAACAAACATAACGATTAAGGCACAATTGACAACTTAGGGATACACTAAAATTTCAGTGAAACTAACATGAAAACTTAGCACAAATCAGCTTCCTTCATGAAACATTCAACAGCACCAAATGGACGTCTTCTTTAGACAGAAGCGATATCTGTATACACATTAAACCAGAGCCAAACTATTCCTTGATATCTGACCCCAAAAAAACACCTATTCCTTGATATAGTTAATCAAGTAATTACATACATTGCTGAGAGGTTTAATTCCAAATTTCCAGTCATAAAGTCAGTAACCTAAAAATCCAGTTATCCCTTCAAGGTAGATACAAAAACATCAGCACCTGATTTGACAGCCTGCACGCTAACATATGTTCTATTAAAATAAAAGCAAAGCTTTTCACTAAGAGGTCCCATTAACAGCCTTGTCAATTTCTTCCACATGATTATGAAGCACATCCCACTGCACAAGAAAAAATGATAGGTAAGAAAGCTCTCAAGAGCTATTGAAATGTACAAAAAAATCAAGACATACCTGATCCTTCGTTAGTGAGATTCCTGAGAACAAGGGCAAACAAGTCAACACTAGGCAACACTTAATGAATAGAAATCATACATAAGACAACAGTTTGTCAACTACAAAATGAAACTAAGCGCTGAAGAAAAGAAATTGCTTTATCATTAAACTAAGAGTTACCAAACCATACAGTAAACCCAACAAATAAACCCTACAAAACTATGAACATATTGGCAAAAACTAACATGATAAATAGTACAACCCAATAGGCCACATTCATCATAAACCAACCCCTGACTACAGCAGGAGCACACAATGAAGAGTCTTTGTACTTTTCTGAGTAATGAACGCCTTTCTTGTGCAAAGGTGAAGCCACTGCTTAGGCATTTAAATAATCTTTCAACCTAAACTAGAAACTGCCAAGTAACAGTGTGTCCTTGTTAGAATTGAACTAAGTACCATGCCTAACCCTTATTTCACCTAGATTTGTAGCAGATTGTCTCCAAAAAGTTTAATGCACAACCATTATTGTTTGAACTCTTAATTAGGTCAACAACCGTATTTCTCATATCTTGAGGCCATACTCAAACTTTTGTTTGCTTTTATTATGCTAATTTAAGTATTGTCAGTTAATCTTGTTTAGTATGGCTGTCGCTTCTTATTGTTGCTTAAGTCATAACTCAATACAATCCAAATTCTCAAATTGTCTCTGCCTTAAGGATATTGCCAGCTAGACTTCCACTGCACTTATAATTTTTAGGGATTCTAGTAAACCATAGGTCCTAACAACCTTTCCCATCAGCTAAACCAGTTTTGCCTATGTTCCATCAAATCCACAGTTTTGATGTCGTTTGTGAATAATCCTCCACATCAGCCACCCAAAAAAGAGAAGCTGCTTCTGGTGACATTAGACAGAGGATTTTAATTTTGTAGGCTCACTCCCCAATGCACCCACTAGAACACACTTCTTGAGTTACCCAACCTTTTCCACTTCGTCTTGACTCTTAAAAAGAAACACTGCTTTATTGGCTTGGAGAGGTCTCAGTACCATATGGAACCCAAGGAGCCTTGATAAGGCTGCCTGTATCCTACTCCAACTAACTAAAGACTGAATAACTAGCTCTATCTAGGTAGCTTGAATTGTTTCGCAGAGATATTACAGAGGACCAAGGTTTCTTTGCACTGTCTCTTTAACATGGCCAGGTTCATTGTTTTTCCTTCCTTAGGCTACACTGAGTAACATTCATGCCATTGTAGTTCAACCGTTTACTTTCCAACCTCTGGAAATCATATTGTTCCTTATCATCCCAGACCCAAGCCTTGTGAGATGTTGATGAAAACACCCTTTTTTTTCTGGTAATTGTTTCCTCAACCAGTCCTGGCTCACCTCTTCTGCCGAACCCCCCCAAAGCGACACAGCACATCCCAACTCCATAAAGAAACTTCTCTATATATTACTCTCTACTATTTATAAAGCACCTGCTTTTGAATCCTCATCGACCTCTACATCAAGAATTTCTGTTCAAATGTTTGTTACTGACCTCTCGATGGACTCTTTCCCTCATGGTTTCTCAAGAAAAAACTTCTCTCAAGTACATTTAAGAAAAAGATAAAAATACACCACCTTCATTTTCCACTTGTAATGTTGAGAATTAGACTTTCAGTTGTGACAAGACTCCGAAAAGTATAAGAACCCTAAAATGCAGTATTTTCATTTCTTTATAAACCCCAAATCCGGCCAAAATACAAAAACCCCACTAGAAAATAAGACAGAGATCAGTAAATAAACCATAGAAAGTAGAAAGTCGAAGCCAAGAAAACCAGATGAACAATTATACTATAAAAACACAATAAAACCATTTTCCATTTTTTGAAACAAGTTAAAGGCAAAAACGGCAAACCTTTTTTCCCAGGCATTTGCTTGCCATCCTTAACATAGAACTCACGAATGTCGACCATAATCTTTCCATTCCAGTTCCTCACAGTTACCCTCCTATTCTTGGAGATCTGCAATTCCCCAAAAACCCTAAAATCAGTTCCTCACATATACGTGCAAACAAAACAAGAAGAAGAAGAAGAAGAAGAAGAAAGAGAGAAATGGTGACCTCGCAGGCAATGATTTCGTCAGAGTTGTCATCGGTGGAGTCTCTCTTGCAGGTCTTCTTGGGGGGCGCGTGGCCCTCAGAGTCACCGTCCGACGCGTGATCCTCCTCGTCCTTTCTCTTTCCTCTCCACGACATTGTCTTCGTTTTCTTCTGTGGCTTTGCTTCGGTTTTCTCTACTCTATTCCTCTATTAAGACAGAGAGTGAAGAGAGCGCAGAGGCCAAGGACATGGAATCTCGGTGCTGCTGTGACTGAGAGAGTGAAGAGAGGCAAAAATCTAGAGTGTGCTCTATAAATAAAGTAATCACTAAAATTATAATTTTTTATCAATTAATTAATTTTATTAAAACAGCTTACAACGTGATGAGTCTTCGCATTTGTTATTGTTTGATGAAAACTTTGTGGGAAAATGTCATCGTATTCATCCATAAGGAATTTGCAATTGGAACATTTTGGAAAAAGCAAAAGGAGAGAGAAAAATTTTAAAAGAAGCAAAAATGGATAAAAATGTCCTTATTTATTTTTAGATTTCCTAAGGAATTACACTAGCCTTTCCGTGCATGAGAGAGGGTTTTTATTTTTTTATATATATAAAATTTTAATTTATTTTAGAATGAAAAAAGATAATGGATAGTTGTGTTTCATAAAAATCAGATCTATTATCTAATTTTTTTTTAAATTTTAATTTTTTAAATATGAAAAAGTGTGAATTTACTATATTATCCTCATTTAATTAATAATTTCAATTTTTAATATTTGCATTAACCAATGGCATTTTCTGGTATTTTGAATGTTTCAACATTCTCTTCTTTTTGCTTTATATATATAGATAAAACTTTTCTAAAAGTAATTTTGTCATTTTTTGCTTTGGCAAATTAAAAAATTATCTCATTTTTGTATCATAAATTTTTAATTCATTTTCATTTTTGGCTAATTCTTCCAAATGAATATGAACAATTCATTTGATAAATCTTTAGATAAATTTCCATTCATTTTTTTTAAGAAAATAATTATTCAAATACCCTTTTACAATTTTAACAATAAAAAGGACAACGCTTAATATCTAATTTCATGTTTAAAAGAGGTAATCCAAAACTCACATTCTCCTTGCAAAATAGATTAAGACCCAAAAATAATAACCAAAATAAAATCCCAACATCCCAAATGAAAATGAATCCTTTTCTCAAATTGATTTGATAAATGAGGCAGTGAGTTGATTGAAATATGGGTTTCAGGTGCAGCAATAGAGAAATATGGAATATATGGGCTATTGGAAGGATTAAAAAACAACATATTTGCTAGCATATATGAGCTATGGCAGTATTTTTGCTTACCATATTAACTAAAGATGTATGCTCACCATCACCCTTAAAGGGTGACACGTGTCCCATTATTAACCTTAGTTAACTTTTATATGGGAATCTAAAAAAATAAATAAATAAGAGGCCCACAGCCTTCTCTTCTTTCCCCCTCTTTCCTCCTTTTACCCCTTTCTTTTCTTTCTTTTCTTTCTTTCCTTCCCGACCCCTGACATTTCTCTCTCTTCTCTTCTCTCACCTCCCTCACCAATATGCTCGTCAAATTCATTGAAGAAATCTGTTTCATTTACTTACTTGTGACTCTATTCATCATCTGGGTTTTTGTTACATTTTTGTTATGAATGATTTGTGGGCTTTCTCAAATCTGCATTTTGTACGGATTCTTTGAATTTATTTTTGAGAGGGGCCGAATATCCTTGCCTCGAATTCCAAGAAAAGTTGTTGTGCATATATTTGAGATAAATCATCAAGTGTTCCATATTTACTTGGTGATTTATCAAACACTTTAATCATTCATATTACATTCATTTGTATTGTTCGGTGACTCATATGGTTGAGGGCACCAAGACTGTGATGGTGGTTTTCCTCCAGCAAGGTTGAAGCAATCGTGATCAGTACTGCATTCAACATAAGAAGTGTTGAAGATCATCCCATGACAGAAGTTGAGTTACGAATAAGTATTTTTAGTCATCCTACAGGTAATTTCAATTGGTATTAGAGCAGGTTGTTGAACACACTCAACAAGATCAGACATATTGTAGGATGGATCGTGTCGCGGGCTTAGTTGTACAACCACCACATTTCAATAGCAACAATTATGGCCCTTGGAAGGCTAAAATGAAGTCATTCTTTTGGTCTCTAGATGAATGTGTATGGAATACAGTGGTTCATGGATTTTTTAAACCTATAAAGAAAATTAGAAAAGGAGAAGAAGAAAGCACAGTCCTCAAAACTAGAGAGGAATGGACCAATGTAGAAAGTCACGCACAGTAGTAATAACCAAAATGGGTTAAATACTTTATTTATTGCTATCTCTTCTGATCAATTTGAATATATCTCTGGTTGTAATACTTCTAAGGAAGCTTGGGATATTTTGCAAGTAACTCATAAAGGAACAGATACTGTAAAGGGCGCCAAGCTCCAAATGCACACTTTACAGTTTGAGACACTCATGATGGATGAGAATGAAACTTTTTCTGAATTTTATGCTAAACTTTGTGTCATTGTGAATGCATTTTCAAGTTTTAGGTGAAAAACTTCCAGAAGATAGGGTTGTGAAAATGATTTTGAGATCCTTGTCTCAATGGTTTCAACCAAAGATCATGGCTATTGAAGAGATTCGTGACTTGAACACCTTAAAAGTTCAAGAACTCATAGGGTTCATACAAACTTATGAGATGAAACATCTAGCTCCTAAAAAAAGCAAAAGTGTTGCTTTCAAAGTTGTGAATGAAGAAGATGATAGGCATTCAAATGAGAATTGCAATCATGAGGAATTAACGATTCTCACAAGTCATAAGACGATTCATGAACTTTCTCAAGAATTAGGATTCAATGAGTCGAGATTTAAAAGGTATAAATTATAAAAATAGGTTTGTTGACTATACTGATGGTGTGTCTAAATCTTGCAGGTCAAATGAACGAAAGAATCTAAGAGAAAAGGTCTAATGTTTCGAATGTGAAGGCTATGGACACATATCTTCGAAATGTGCTAACACCTTAAAGAAACAAAAGGATGGGAAAAATAAGGCACTGCATACTACTTAGAGTGACAGTGATTCTGACTCTGAAAATAATGAGAAGGTCATTGCACTTATCACGACTGTAAGCTTGGATGAACCAATAAAGAAGGATGATGATAGTGAAGATATGAATATTGAGTTTATCATGAACAAATATGATGATTTGTTGGTTGCTTCTTAGAAACTCAGCAAGCAAAATGAAATGCTCATAAAATCCATTTTTGTGCTGGAGTTGGAAAATTGCAAGATTGCAAACTAGTTTAAATCTCCTGAAGCAGATTTTGAAAAGGTAAGTGCATGTATGAACCAAAAATTGATGTTTTTTGCAGAAAAAATTGACTAATCAGAATAAATTAATTGCATCTCTAACTTCTGACAACAAAGCCCTTGAACTTGAACTTAAAAATTCAAAGGAAATAATTGTTTCTTTAACCATTGGTGCGGAAAAAATTGACAAGATGATTAGCATGGGAAGAAGAGATGGTGACAAATGAGGGTTCAAGTAATAAGTTTTACGATGTGTCTAAAACAAAGTTTGTCAAATCCTCTTCACCTATTAAACCTTCTAGCGCTCATGAAGTCAAGAAATTCATTCCAATTTGTCACTTTTGCAGAACTCGTGGCCATATAAGACCAAAATGCAATAAACTTCGAAACGAATTTGTTTGTTCAAATTCTCACATCATGGGTGGAAAAGTAATCATCCAACATAAGATTTCAAATCCTATGAAAGAGGTAAAACGCTTATCCAAACTATCTTCTTTTCATTGTTTGCCATCAACTAAGACAAAGTTAGTTTGGGGGAAAAAGGAAAATCATGATTGTATGTTTGCCTCCACTAATGTTGTGCATGAACCTATTGCTTTAGAAAATTTGGATCTTAAATGTCTTGTTACAAAACCTTTGGATAATCTTCGATTTGACACTCTTAGAAAGTCTTTAGGTATTTGTTCTTTTGAATAATTGTTTGTGTTTTGATTCATGCCAAAAGACTCCAGCTATTTTCTTCTTTATTTTTGTAACATAAATTGAATTAAATTCTAAATAATTTGTTCAGCACATGTAGGGATTGATAAGCGATATCAATCCTACTGACGTCTGGAAGCTTTGATGATCTTAGATTGAATTTTTGGCTTTGGATCACTTTGGGCATGTCAGTATTGGGTTTATGCGAATGGTTCTCGATTGTCTTTGTTTTTTATAAGGTTAATTAAATGTTCTTTATATTAATTCTCATATCTCACATATAGCACATACACTCTAATCATGCTTAATAATTTTGAATGAATCGTCACATTGTCCTTGTCTTGATACTAGATTTTCATTGTACGTTTTGTTACTGAGCTCACAAATTTATAACATCTCTTTAATTAAAAGTAAATTTAAATAAGTGCTTCATCCTTGTCAAGTAACCGGGCCTCTTATCTAACCAACGTCGAGGTTCGCATCAAAAAGTTTTGATCTTGTACACAATATTGTTCCTCTTTGTTGCCTACATGACTCGAGTTAGTACATCCTAAGGGTGCTTAACACCCATTATCTTAAAGTCAACTGACTTGAGCACATTGATTTAACACCTGTTATATGGGTCTTGTAGAAAACTTGATAAAATTAGCAAAAAAAAACAAAAAACAAAACAAAGGGTGAAAGTGGTGAGCTTTGTATGCATTTTGTATGTATGTTTATCATATGTTCTTGACTTGTTCTTGGTTGGACTTTTTCTTTGTTATTAAGCAAGTTTAGTTACATAACACAAGATTGGGCTTTGATATTTCCTCATTTGATGGACTTTATTTCTTACAAATACTTTTGATTCTCCATTTTATAATCCTTGTGTTTGATTAAACCTTGTGATTTGATGTGCCTTAAATCCTGAAAGGCTTTGCTTCAAATGCTTCTAGAGAGATATTGGTATTGGCTCTGCTTGTCTATCCTTTTGCATAGTGTTGGCACGTACTCATGAGTTTTTTTGACATGTATGAAGGAAGAGTCTTGGTATAATGTTGGGCACACTACTACAAAAAAGGAAAAAGACGACGGGAATTCACCGTCGTGTATTCGGGTTTCAAACCGTCGTGGAATCGACCGACATCTATTTGGGTGTCAAACCACGACGCTAAATCACTGTCGTTGTTAAAACAAACAACGTCATTAACAAATAATAACCGACGTCTTTGTAATGGAAAAAGAGATAAAAAAAATAGTCGATGATGAGAATAGACGACCAATTCTAACAAAAAACGTCGTTAAAAAGGAAACATATGACATATATTAACATAACATGGCCGCAAGATATACATACAATGACGGGAACTAAAACTCACTGCCGTTAAATATACCTTTCACGACAAATAAAAATATGACGTCTTTAAATACATAATCGACGACATTATTGACTCTTACTACGTCAGTACATTTTCAACAACCGTCGTGAAATGAATTTTCCACTTCGATTTTTCTATTAATGATGACGTGGAAATAGATGTTAGGGTCATTACTTACGACGCATGTATTTAAACTGACGATGTTGTACTAATAAACAACGTCGGTTCCAAATGATTAAGAGCCGTATTACAGAATTTATACGTCATCTCTTAAAATATAATCGTCGTCTAATGGATATGAGACGGCAACGTTTCTCAGTCCATCACCATGTAACATAGTTTTAACGACACAATCTTAAAATAAACGACGTGGAAAATATGTTGGGGTCATTATTTATGACACATTAATTTATAAAGACGACATTGTCGTCAATATACAACGTCATTATCATGAAAAAGACAACCGTGTTTCATAATTTATACGTCATTATTAAAAAAATTACCGTCGTCTAATTGCTATTTGACGGCGTTGTTAATCCGATATTTGCCGTGTAAAGAAATTTTAATGACATTATCATAAGAAAAGAGACGTGGATACATTCATATAACGTTGTTTTTGTAAAGGAACGACGTCCAAATATATATTAACGTCGACAAATTTACCAATGGATTTAAAATATCGTCGTGAATTCATCCTTTTCCACTTCGTTTATGAAATAACATGCAACGTGGTAAAGTTAAGACGACGTCGTCTTTTGTAACGTCCAGGTTAGATATCTCGTCTTTTAGACGTCGGTATTATGGGATTGGAGTCGTGTTATTTGGAATTACATGGCGGCTCTTTATGCTTCTCCGACGTGATATCCTTAATAACTATTTCACAATAGGGTCGTGGTTCTTCTTTGTTACGTTGCTTTAAGACGTTGGTAAATATATTGCAGTCGTTGAATGCTCCAAAACGTCGTTTTTTATTAGAACAGACGTTTGTTTTTCACATTTTTATCAATACCGTCGTGTTTGTAATCTTGAACCAATATTTTTTGTACTGATTATTTTGTGGCCAAAACCTGTATAATGAAAGTGAAGAAATCACATTACAATATATTACAAAATTAATGTCATACACTGCCAATTACATAAGCATCATTCAATCCATATATCTTCACACCCATCTCGAATATTTTGACTCCCAAACTCACCCACTAGTTCATCAAATGTGTCAACATTTGGCATCCCTCTAGTAAATGGCTCACACTCAATTCTCACATCACCTAAGACATCATCATCACTAATAACATCATTATATTCTCTATTAGGCATTGATAACACTACCGACCAACCACGATGTATCGGGTCGTCAACAAAAAATACTTGTTTGACTTGAGAAGCCAAAACAAATTGGTCATTCCTATGTCCAATTTTACTCAAATCTATAAGGGTAAATCCAAGTTCGTCGACTACAAGACCAGAAATACTATCTATCCAATCACACCTAAAGACTGGGATTGTAAACTTTTGGTAGTTAAGGTCCCAAATTTCTTGAATGACACCATAGAAACCCATATTTGAGAGAATTGGGTTTTTATCCTTGGCATTAGCAACTTGCATGGTATGTGCAAGTAAATAAACTCTACTATTTTAAGTTGTCCGCACATCATTTTGTGCCTTGATGTTAAATTTAATACCTTTAATAAGATAGCTCCTATATGATGGCACTGCCATGTTTGGACCAGCTGCTAGCCACCTTAAATTTTCTGATACGCCATGATTGTCTTCCTCATTAAGTTCACTTTGAATCTGCAAATTAATCATATCTTAATTCAATCTAACATAGAAAGAAGAAAATTAAAAGTCCAATATGTTATTCAATAACATATACCTTGAAGCGTAGCCATTGAATGAAAGTGCTATTGTGCTTATCTTGCAGCCACTTTGTTCTCTTTCTAAATTTTGGATAAGCGGTCTTGATGTGGATCATATGTTGCCTACTTGACATGAAAAATTCAAGCATTACGGTCCCAAAAATATAAGATAAACATAAGAAATAATTTAAAATGGAAACTTAAAGAATAAAACTCATACGTACTCGATATAAGGTAGGACTTCCTCCGTATTCTCCAAGACATATAGATGTGCTTGGTTCAACAGGTCCCGATCAACTACGCTCACTGTGCAACCTAATAATGGCTTTGAAACTCCCATCTTTTGGCTTGAAGGCACTCCAACTGTACTAACATCAAATAAATGTTCGGTACAAAACTCTACAGCTTCTTCAGCTATATACCGCTCAGCAATGCAACCTTCGGGACGAGTACGATTCTGAACATACCCCTTTAGCACTTTCATATATCTTTCAAACGGATACATCCATCTAAAATATACTGGCCCACATAGACGAACTTCTCTGACAAGATGTACTACTAGATGAACCATGATATCAAAGAATGAAGGGGGAAAGTACTTCTCAAGCAAACACAAAGTAACTACTACATCTTCTTCCAACTTATCTAGCTTGGAAACATCAACAGTCTTTGCACATATAGCATTGAAGAAGAAGCACAAACAAGTTATTGCATACCTTGCAGGCTTCTCCAAAACAAAACAAATTGCCACAAGGAGCAATTGTTGCATTAAGGTATGATAATCATGTGATTTAAGGCCAAGAAGTCTTGAATCTTGTAAAGATACAAGATTTTTTATATTTGAAAAATAACCTTCAGGGACCTTCATACCATAGAAAGAATTGCAAACCTCTCTCTTCTCTGCTCTTGACAAATTCCAAGGCCGGGAGGCAAACAAGTACGTCTTTCTCCATACTCCGGTTGCAAATCAGTTTTCACCCCCATGTTCAATAAATCTAATCGAGCAGCAATCTCATCTTTATTTTTTCCAGGGATCTCCAGCAATGTACCAATGATACTATTGCAAACATTCTTCTCAATGTGCATAACATCTAGGACATGCTTCACAGGAAGGTATTTCCAATACTCGAGATCAAAGAATATTGATTTCTTCTTCCAACAAACTCTGTCACCATCTTCAACCATATGCAACACTTCTTCTCCGGTTAATGGCTCGGGAGGCGTGCCATATTCAGGTTTCCCATTAAAAGCTGCACGTTGCCTCCTATATAGATGATTGATTAGTAACCATTTTCTATGCCCAATGTAACAAATTTTGTGGCCATTTTTCAACCTGTGACTAGGTGTATCATTGCCGCATATTGGACAAGCTTTATATCCTTTAACAACACAACCAGATAAGTTTCCATAGGCAGGGAAATCATTAATTGTCCACATTAATGCAGCTCTGAGTGTAAAGTATTCTCCATTATGTGCATCATACACTCCTCTAATCCTATCCCACAAAGATTTTAAATCATAAATCAAAGGCTCCAAGTAGACGTCTATATCATTTCCGGGTTGTTTAGGACTGGAAATCAATAAGGTCAACATCATGAACTTTCGTTTCATGCACAGCCATGGAGGGATATTATATGTAACTAAGATAACTTGCCAGCAACTATATCTGCTACTTAGAGAACTGTGGGGATTGAATCCATCAGATGAGAGAGCCAATCTCAAGTTTCTCGGCTCATTACCAAACTCGGGCAATTTATCATCAAGAAGTTTCCAATACGGGGAATTCGCCAAATGAGATATTTGACCGTCAATTGATTTTCTAGCAGCATGCCAAGTCAAACTTTTAGCTGTCTCATGTGATCGAAACATCCTTTTAAACCTTGGAATTTGAGGAAAATACCACACCACCTTTGCTGACACACCCTCTTTCAAGATTGAATCTTTGCCTTCCTTCCACCTTGAGATACCACAAGTAGGACAATTAGTTAAATATTCATACTCCTTCTTATACAAGATGCAATCATTGGGGCATGCGTGCATTTTCTCATAATTCAGCCCCAATGCACACAAAGTCTTTTTGTCTCATACATAGAGGCCGGTATTGTATTTCCTTCTGGAAGCAAATCGCCTTGAAGTATCAATAATTCTGTAAAACAGACATCACTCATCCCATGTTTTGCTTTCAAATTATACAACTTCACTAATGCTGATAACTTCGTGTACTTTCTACAACCAGGGTACAATGGTTGATCTCCATCCCCAATCACATTGGCAAACTCATAAGGATCGGATCCAAAATCACCAAAATCATTATCATCCATCTCTATTTCTTCAGACACAAAACTGTACCTACTATGGTCATCATATTCTTCAATATTTCTACTAGCATTAGTAGTTGCTTCCCAAGGTTCTCCGTGAAATGTCCAATTCTTATAGCTTTGGTTAACTCCATTAAAGTATAAGTGATCCCTTATAATTCCAACCCCAAACAATTTCAAATTAACACATTTAACACATGGACAACGGATATGTGTTGTAGTTAGAAGATTTTCTACAGAAAAGTTCAAAAATGCTTCCACCCCTAACTCATATGTCTTCGATCTTCTATCCGAGTGCATCCATGACTTATCCATCTCCGACATTATACCCTATTATCTATAAAGTTTTAATAGCAAGTAATATACTACACAGACAATGACCATCACTATAGCATATTATATAAAGTTTTAATAGCAAGTAATATACTACACAGACAATGGTTTTTAAACAAAACAGACGTATTTGACATATATAGACGATGGTTTTTCAACAAACGTCATCTAATTATAACCACGACGGTAGATAAAGAACACCGTCGTGCATAAGTAATACAGACGACGGTTTACTAAAAAACCGTCGTCGTATGCCTAAAAACGCGTCCATATCCCAGTTTATTTTCAAGAACCCAAAACCCTATTAAGAACACAACATATACATTAATTTTTATGTTGGGTATTAAGCATGAAACCAAGCATGAAACAACATATACTAAGCATGAAAACAATAAATCCATTCCCGATTCAACATAACACAGAGTGATTAAAAGATCCGACAAAATTAAATCCATTCCCTATTCAACATAACAGAGAGTGATCATGAAAACATTAAACAGAAAATCCATGAACCCATACCTCCAACAACATTATTAAAAGATCGCACAACATATATCTAAAACCCTTTAACAAAACAACCTAATATCATTCAATGAATTTACAAGGGGAAAATAAGGGTTTTTACTTACAGGTTGGCAGAGCTCATAGATTATGGCCTACTTGGATTCGACGGAGCCTGGAGAGCCCAACTTTGAATTAGAGATTAAGTGAGAGAGCGAAATGTTATGTTGCGCGAAATCTGAAAATTTTAGGTCGCGCGAAATTTTTTTGGAAAGCGCGCTCTTTAAAACATCAACGAAAAAAACAGCCGTCGTTAAAATTTCACTCTAAACATGACGCTTATTACATTAAAGACGTTGTGGTAAAACTATGTACGAAGCAAAATCAAACAGAAGTTGCCAAAACTAAGAGAAACCATGGCGAAAGTTTTACCAAAACTGACGTAAATTCATTATTCCACGACTCAAACACTAAACTTAACGCCGTTTATTTTAAAAAAAAACCACGTCGTCTGTTGAACCAATAGCGTCGTTTGAATAACCTTTTACATTTTTTTTAAATCGATGATGTTGTTATTCATGTACAACGTCATTTTAAAGGAACATAAACACCGTCGTCAAAAAAATAAACTTCGACTGAAAACATAAATACCGTCGTTAAAAAATAATACCCTAAACCCTAAACCCTAAATTATATATTACTAAAATATAATTTTATAAAAGGGTTTATGGTTTTACAACCTAATATATAACGTCTTTTAAACCGTAAACCCCAAAAATTGTCCTTTAATCCTAAACCCTAATAAATAACAACCCTAAACCATCAAACTATAAGTGATGTTATAACTCATCAAAACAATTTATTTTTGGGTGGTCATTTTAAATTTGTATTACTCAAACTGAATTTTTTTAAGGTTTAGGGAGAAGAAAATATATCAATGACTTCATAGGAGTTGACGTTTCATTTTTTGGATTTATTTTAAATTTATTTTGAATATTTTGAATTAAAAATAATAAAATATTCTTATATCAACAACAAACCACGTTGGGGTTAAGAAATTAAAGACATTGTAAATCATAATAAACGACTCACTTGTAAAAAGGACGTCATTTAAAAGATAAACCATGGCGGATGTTTCACCATCCAACGTAAACTCAATATTCCACGACTTAATCACCGTCGTTAAAAAGTAATACCCTAAACCCTAAACCCTAAATTATATATTTTTAAAATATAATTTTATAAAAGGGTTTATGGTTTTACAGCCTAATATATAACAAACATAAACCGTAAACCCCAAAAATTATCCTTTAATCCTAAACCCTAATAAATAACAACCCTAAACCCTAAACCCTAAACCCTAAACCGTCAAACTATAAGTGATGTTATGACTCATCAAAAAAATTTATTTTTGGGTGGTAATTTTAAATTTGTATTACTCAAACTGAATTTTTTTAAGGTTTAGGGGGAAGAAAATATATCAATGACTTCATAGGAGTTGACGTTGCATTTTTTTGATCTATTTTAAATTTATTATGAATATTTTGAACGAAATAGAATAAAATATTCCTACAAACACAACAAACCACGTCCACTTTAATAAAGTAACAACGTTGTAAATATAATAAACGACTTACTTGTTGAAAGGATGTCGTTTAAAAGCGAAACCATGGCGAAATTTTCACTAAAACGACGTCCCATCGACGTACAAACGGTATATCACGACTTAAACAAAAAAGGTGTCGCCGTGTAATTTAATTACCATGTCATCTCTGTCGTCTAAATATCCTTTTACGTCGGATTTGTTTCAAACGATGACGTTGTTTCCAACACCAGAAGACGACGGTTTTTGACATAATTATGTCGTTGGAAAGATATTACACGTCGGTTTATGTTTTTTTTATTTTTTTTTTTTTTTTTTTTTTAAGAAAACCTCAAAAAAATTTCAGGGAAAAAAGGATGTATAGTATAGACAAAATTTGTACATTATATAAAAATATCAAGTGTTCTAAAAATCCTCTACTCCACATGAAGGCAAACAAACTCTGCCCATTCATTCCTGACTTCATCAATGGCTGCTTGGGGGTATGGCGCTTGCTCTTTTCCCTTGGCAAACTGCAATCCATAAACAATGATTATTAAGCTTTATAAATAAAAAGAAATTCAATCACAGATGACGCTATTTTCATAACCGACGTAGTATATCGATGCAACAATGGTAATTTTAAAGGACCGTTGTTGATAATACAAAAAACCACATAAAATGTATCTGAAAATTTTCTTCTTACCATCTTCTCAAACTCCAGGGAAGGATCCATGATGATGTCTCTCATGAAGTGCATGACATAATACCCGCATTCGACACTGCTGGGTTGCTTTGGTGTGTCTGGCAAAGTTTTCCAAATGGGTGCTTTACGGCCTTGTCTGCCTATGTGGGAATTATAAATTTTTATAGCACTGTTCACCATATTTTTGGTCTCCTCATTAACCACACGATTTCCGGGTAGAGGATCCAGAAAATAGACAGTTTCCTTCTTTGCTCTCACAATCAGCAAGACCCAATGACGGCTGCACAAAATTAATATAAAACAAAGATATATAAAAAAAGTCAGTATAAGAAAACACACGACGGTTATTTACAAAAACGACGTATTATATAGTTTCACACGACGAAATAACGTAGCAATTGATGTCATTATAAATTTATCACCACGGTAATTAATTAACGACGTGGTTAGTCGTTTCAAACGACTCAATAAATAAAGAACCGACATGGTTAGATGTTTCAAATGGCACAAATTTAGTTAAACAGTTTTATACACAGTGCATCATACAAACAAAATCCTGTTAAGGAGACTAACCCTCGATTGTAAGGCATCATGAAAATCTGTTCACCATCTGTCTTCTGAAGTCGACTGGCTACCAATCGTGATCTGTCAGTTAGTGACCCAGCGTTGGCACTAACTTGAGCAGGGTCGATAATGCCAACCATGTTGAACATATTTACTTCTTTCAAATGATCATATAAGCACCTAAATATATAAAACAAAGATATATAAAAAAGTCAGCGCAAAAAACACACGACGGTTATTTATAAACAAACGACGTATTATACAATTTCACACGACGCAATGAAATAGAAATTGACGTTATCATTAATTTATCACGACGGTACATAACTAACGACGTGGTTAGTAGTTTCAAACGACGCAATAAATAAACCACCGACGTCTTATGCTATAATGTTTTTTTTTTTTTTTTTCAACAAATTTGAGTGTGAAATAAATATTTGATAAGGACAAACCTCATATATACTGCAAGCACAATAGCCCCAATTTCTTCCATGCCTGCTAACTGTGTAATATCTTCAAGCAAGACGAAGGTACTGCGATCTGCACCAAACACCTCCTTCTCAATTGTAAAGGTCATGATCTTCTCCTGAGGCTTTAGTGTGGTTTCCACATAACGACAAAGAGATTGTAAGGAAGATGGCACCTCCACCTTTGAATAATCAACTACTTCAATACCTTGTTTAAAGAAATAAAGCAAAATAAAATGACGTGGTAATTCAATAAACACGACGGTTTAAAGAAAACAACGTCGTCTGATAATAATTTAAACGACGGTAACAAAACACCGTCGTGTTGAATAATTTATTACGTCATAGGAAACAAATTCCGACGTCTAATTTAAAAACAAACGACGATTTAAAGAAACTATCGACGTTTGAAATTTGAAAAAGAAATAAAAAAGGCAAAGTTATGAGAATATACCTTTTCATCATGCTTTTCTTCATCTTCTTTTTTTTCTTTCTTCTCTTCATCTTGTTTTTCTTCTTTCTTCTCTTCATCTTTTTTTTCTTCTTTCTTCTCTTCATCTTGATTTTCTAAATCCTCATATTTCTGTTTTAAGTAATAAAGAAATATATATATATAAGACAAATTGAATAGAAAGTAAAAAAAATTAAATCAAAACGTCGTGGTAAGGTATAACATAAGACGGTATGTAAAAATTATGGACGTCTTAAAATTATTAAAAGATGGTAAATAATAAACGTTGTGGGGATTTATATATTACGTCGGTAAGGACTAAAACCGTCGTCTAAATCACCACAAAAGTTTTCAAAAATAACGACGTCTAAGGGCGTGTAAAACAAGTAAACTAAATACGACGTGGTATTGAAATCCAAACGACAGTTTATTAATAAAATCGTTATGGTATGTATTTCAAACGACGGTTTGCTTCATAATAACGACTCTAATAGCTCTTTTAAAAAACAGAGAATTCAAAGTTCAGATATGTTACCATTTCTTCCTGTTTTTCCCCATTTTTGGCAGTATCATCCTCAAAATATAGTGATCTCACATCCCTAGAGCAGCTTGCTTTGTCAGATACACTGAGACTGCCTTCAGCGACTTGTTTTTGCAATTCATCCTAAAACAAAGACATATAAAAAAGTCAGCACAAGAAAACACACGACGGTTATTTATAAACAAACGACGTATTATATAATTTCACACGACGCAATAACATAGAAATCGACGTTATAATATATTTATAACGACGTTACTTAAAGAACGACGTGGTTAGTTGTTTCAAACGACTCAATAAATAAACCACCGACGTCTTATGCTATAATTACAAAAAACAGAGTAGCGATTCCAAATTCAGACATGTAACGGCGTTTTTAAAACATCTCGACATAGTAATATATTCAAACGACGAAATAAATAAAACACCGACGTCTTATGCTATAATTACAAAGACAGTAGCAATTCCAAATTCATACCTGTAACGACGTTTTTTAAAACATATCGACGTAGTAATATCATTCACACGACGGTAAATATAACATAAGACGTAATAAGAATTATCAGGGCAATACAGAGTTTAATAAAAATTTAAAACAGAGTGAGTAGGCTTACAATTAATTTTGCTTTATCTGCCACCTTTGGATCAGGGATGTTACCTTTGTCTTGTCTAGCTTTCTTCCATAAGGTAGATCGATCAATTTCTACCCCAGGCATGGTTTCCTCCAATTGATCCTCCAAACCAGCATATCCTTTTTGAGACAATCGATGATTGTACTCAAGTTTCTCCCTAATCTTTGAATGTTGAGAATGCACAGACACAAATTCTTGGGATAACTTTGAAGCCACAAAGGCATCCCATTCTGCTTTCTCTATGAATTTATATAGTTAAGGGGTTTGGCTTAATTTCTCCCTCTCCTTGATGTATGGAAGGATATAATGCTTCGTTAGTGTAGACTTGAAATCCTTCCATTTCTTGGCAGCAGAAGATAACACCAGGTTCTTGCCCCCTTGACCTACCACAAAAGCCATGTCAACGACTTCCCAAATATGCTCCTTTATATCCTTGGAGATTTCAGCCCATTTCTTGTCCACATGTGGGACTCTGGAGCGTGCCAACACACCAATGTAAGACTGCATCTTAGTATGTGCAGGGCCACATCCTTTCCCCCTTTTATTGTACTCAACAACTGGCTTGATTTTATGAAATTTTCTCTCCACAACACGAGGCATTGTGCTTATACCTCGACCTGACTTTGAATCCTCAGAAATTGTTGTCGTGCTGGCTGGTTCTGTCTCAGCAGATGAAACAAACTTCATCTTCTTCAAGGACTTGTCTTGAGGAGTTACCATTCCAAGCTCCTTACCTCCATTTTTTTTCGAGCCAGAGTCCTTACTTTGGTCTTGAGAAACCATGGTTACAGACAAATCAAACCTGCAAGTGAAAATATTTCAGGAAAAAATTAAGAACACAAACGACGGTTATTCATAAAACACGACGTATGATAATATTTTACACGACGCAATACCATAACATCAAACGTAATAAATTTTAAAACGATGGTACTTAAACAACAACGAAACAATATAAAAGAAGACATAATAAGAACTTATTACGGCGATATTTACACTCCGTCGTGATATTTAAATTCAAACGACGTTAATATTAATATAACGTCGTGGTATTAAAATTAACACGACGTGAATAATAAGATACCGTCGTCTATATAAGATTTCAAACCCTTCTTTCTTTGTCTGTGAATGTTTGATTGCATATTTGATTTCTCTGAACCATGGTTTTTGTTTTTTCTAATTTGATAAAATACAAAGACAAAGAAAGAAGGTTTTGGGATCTTATATAGACGACGGTATCTTAGTATAACGTCGTGGTATTAACATTCACACGACGTGAATAATAAGATACCGTCGTCTATATAAGATCCCAAACCCTACTTTCTTTTTCTTTGTATTTTATCAAATTAGGAAAAACAAAAACCATGGTTCAGAGAAATCAAACCTGCAATCAAAAAGCAAATAAAAAAACGACGGTCATTTTAAAAACAACTTAGATCAATTTTCAGACGACACTAGGACGACTGACGAACCGTCGTGGTCTACATATTTAACCACATAAATAAGAAGCTACTGTCGTCTTATTTAGTTGAAGTAGTTGTGTTCAAAGTTGGAAACTTTCCCTCTTTGTCTGTATATTTTATCAAACTTGGAAAGAATTAAAATGATTTTGGCCAGAAAAAAGGTAAAAAGATTTTCAAAACAAAAACCGTATGAGCATGCAAAACAGCAACAAAAATAGTGAGAAATGAAAGCTTACCTTTTGCGTGCAATGAAAGCTTCCTCTCGAAGTTTGCTGTTTAAGTTCAGAGAAGACGACGAAGACGAGAGAAGACGATGAGATACACTGACAGTTCTATGACAAGGAAAAAAGATGAAAAGTTTTCTCTTGGAGATTGAAATTTTTTATCGAGTTTGGAAACAGTGCATGTGTAAGTCAGGTAGACGAAAAGTTGAATATATACACAAACCGTTTCATAAAAATAAGATGGCGGTTTACAGAGAATGACGACGTATAAATAAAAAACTACAACGATAATTTAAACTTAGGACGTGATAAATAAATACGACAGTAATGTTGTAGGTACCGTCGTAGTAAACTCAAAAATAAAAGTCGATAAATTAATATCTCACGTTATGGTACAAGGATTTAACACGTCGTTTTTTTTAATATACCGACGTGGATTTTTATAATATACGACGTATATTAAATAATAACCGACGTTGATTTTACAATTAAACGGCGGTTTGTGTGTAATGACCGCCGTGGGTTTTAAAAATTTATTTTATAAATTTGTCGATTTCTTTTTCAGTTTGCATTTAGGGTTCCAAGTTCTTCCTCTCTCACAGACACTCTCTCTCACCTCTCAAAGACAATAATTTGGATGTCTTTCTCAAAGAGAAATGGAGCTTACTCTCCAACAAAACTATGTCCACAAGAAGAAGCTTGTCATCTAGCCTTCTCACTTCCGTGATCAGGCCTGATAGGAGACTTAGTGCTTTTGAATACTCCTTACTTTCCATCAAAAGAGATGCAAGCCTGGCCTCCACTCACTGTCGAAGGAAAGTTCGCTTCTCAGCACGGGTCCACTGCGCCATTTCTTTGCAAAGGGAAATCTGAAAATCAGATGTGCCTGATCCTCTGCTCGATTTTCTTGGCTAAGAAGATCCATCATATTTATGATAGCATGTTCCTTTATCCGTAGAGCTTCAGAAGAAGAAGATGGGGTTTCAAGAATGCGATAAGGAATAGAAATGGCTTCAGATGGCCTCTAAAGCCTGAGCAATCGAATTTGTAAAGACATTGTCAATGCTTTGAACTATCCAATTCCTGCAGAAAGAGAACATACCAAATTTGAAACAACGACAGTTTTTTGTTCTACCGTCGTCTTTTTTGGTCGTCTTTTTTGTCGTCGTAGTATATCAAAGTAAGATGGTGGTAGGTTTATAATTACTGACGTAGATTATTTTTGTTAACGTCATTAAGTGTAATATAACTGACGTGGATTTTATTTTTTAATTATAAATAGAGTTTTTTTTTCCCAATGAAATTTAAAATGACGGAAATTAATGTTCTAGAATTTGTAAAGTTTCTTGTTTAGGTGACTGATTTAAATCAAATACGAATATAAAAACAATGACGGTTTTTTGTTCTACCGTCGTCTTTTTTTGTCGAAAGATGGCGGTAGGTTTATAATTTCCGACGTCTTTAATTTCTACGTCAGTTACTTAATTGATTATGTCGTTGGTTTTTTGCTTTGAGACTAAGACGACGCAATATATTTGTTTCCCGACGTGGATTCTTTTTGTTAAATGTCGTTAGGTGTAATATAACCGACGTGGATTTGATTTTTTAATTATAAATAGAGTTTTTTTTTTCCGAGTTCTTTCAGTTTTAGTTTTCAATTACAGTGCGTTATAAATAGAGTTTTTTTTTCCCGAGGAAATTTAAATGACGGAAATTAATGTTCTAGAATTTGTAAAGTTTCTTGTTTGGGTGACTGATTTAAATCAAATACGAATATAAAAACAACGACGATTTTTTGTTCTACCGTCGTCTTTTTTGTCGTAAGATGGCGGTAGATTTATAATTTCCGACGTCTTTAATTTCTACATCAATTACTTAATTGGTTCTGTTGTTGGTTTTTTGCTCTGAGACTAAGACAACGCAATATATTTGTTTCCCGATGTGGATTCTTTTTGTTAAATGTCGTTAGGTGTAATATAACCGACGTGGATTTGATTTTTTAATTATAAATGGGGTTTTTTTTTCCGAGTTCTTTCAGTTTTAGTTTTCAATTACAGTGCGTTATAAATAGAGTTTTTTTTTTCCCGAGGAAATTTAAATGACGGAAGTTAATGTTCTAGAATTTGTAAAGTTTCTTGTTTGGGTGACTGATTTAAATCAAATACGAATATAAAAACGACAGTTTTTGGTTCTACCATCGTCGTTTTTTGTCATAAGATGGCGGTAGGTTTATAATTTCCGACGTCTTTATTTCTACGTCAGTTACTTAGTACCCATTTGGCATTGCTTATTTGGGATGATAAGTGATTTTTTAAAAATTTTGGGAAGCCCAGCCCGTTTGGTAACCTGTGATAAAATCACTTATTATTAAAAATCGCTGTGGGAGAAAGCAATAAAGGAAAGCAGATAATGACCTACTTTCAATTTCTGATTATGGGACAATCAGATTTGAGAAAGCGCTGGGTTTAATGAAAATTAAAATATTCCGAAAATACCCCAACATGATTTCACGCTCTCCTCTTCTTCATGCGTCTTCTCTATCCCAAGCCACAGAGCATTGTTCTCCTTCTCTTCCATTCTTCCTCCATTTTTTTTCTTGTTGGATCAATTGAAACGCACTCCTAAGAAGCCACAAGACTCAAGTAAGAGACATATTGTGTTTATTTCTTCTCAATTTCGTTCTTCCCTTTTTCTCTTTAATTTTTAGGGTTTTAACTATCTTGGTTCTTCTTCATGCCATCTCTTCATAGAGATCACTCCTCTCCTTCTCTTCCACATATTGCCTACGATTTTTTTCTAGTTGGATAAATTGAATCGCACTACTAAGCTACAAGATTCAGGTAAGAGCCGCATATTATGTTTATTTATTTTCAATTTCCTTGTTCTCTCTTTCTCTTTGATTTCTAGGATTTTAACTTTCAATTGTAGCTGCTGTTTGTTTTCTATATTTCGTATTGGCATGAGAATGACATTTCTGTATATTGGGTTTTAGGGCCCCTTCCTGATGGGGTCAAGTTCCTATAAACTGGTTCAATTGGTATAGAAAAGGGAAATAGGCAAATAGATTTCAAGGAGGTACTTCTTGGAATTTTCTTACTTGGAATTTTCTTCTTGGAATTAGGCAAATAGATTTCGAGGCAAATAAGGTCAACCTCCAAAGCATGAAGCTGTATTTTTTACTTGGAATTTTCTGTATTATCTTGGGCATAACTTCTTCTTTTTTAGGTTCTTCAATTCTTGTCTACTTCTTCTTTTTATTATTTCTTTCTAATGTTGGGATTTAGGAACAAAGGAATTTAGGGATTTAGTGAACCATCTATTTTAAGAAACCCAAATGCCCAAATGAGCACTTGGTGAAGAAGATTCTAGGTGAAGCCATAATCCATCCATAATCATGAACAACTCCATCCATAATCAACGAGCTAAGAAAATCCTCCATTTAAGATAGTTGCAGAGCAGATACCGCCATTGTTCTCCTTTATGCTACTTACACTGGCTTAAGATAGTTGTTTGATAATTTCCAGTTTGTTCTATTATATGTGTCTATATATATATATATATATTAGTTTATATAAGCATGCATGCACAATGAAAATGATATTTGAAGGAAATAAACACATTTGCAGGTTATTTTAGAACATGGCCATTCCAGAAGATGAGGCGGAGATCAACCAAATTATATGTGTCACTGCACGTCTTATTGAACTTTATTATGTGAAATATATTCATAAGACCCCGTGTATGAATGACCATCATACATGAAATATTTGGTTGATGGGAGTGTTACAAGGAAATGAAAGTCGTTGCCATAATATGTTTAGGATGGACAAAGATGTATTTATAAGATTGTGTGATGAATTGCAAAAAAATTATGGATTAAAGGGTTCAAGAAGAATGAGTGCTGATGAGATGTTAGGGATGTTCTTGAACATCTTAGGACATGGTTCTGCAAATAGGCAAGCACAGGATCGCTTTCAACATTCTGGTGAGACTATGAGCAGATATTTTGGTATCTTACTTGATGTTGTGTGTCGTTTGGCTGTAGATGTAATTAAACTATTGGAAAATGCGTATAACAACACTCCAAAGGAAATCCTACAGGATTCTAGATATATGCCTCATTTCAAGGTAACTATTGGATCTGCTACTCTTAAATATTTGTCTATGTTTTATTATGTTATAATTATTATCAAGCATGTCTTTTTATCTCTTGTAAGATTGTATTGGTGCTATAGATGGTGTTCATGTCCAAGCCATAGTATTTCCTTCTAATCAAATACCATTTATTGGTAGAAAAGGGATACCTACCCAAAATGTGATGGCTGCATGCAATTTTGACATGCAATTTATATTTGCATGTGTTGGATGGGAAGGCACGGCTCATGACACAAGGATATTTCTATCGGCTTTATGTGATCAAAGTTTGAATTTTCCTAAACCTCCATCTGGTATTATTTCTATCTAAAGAAAAAAATTCATATAATTTATATTTAAGTTTTTAACATTGTGAATAATCAATTAAATTTCTTTTTTAGGAAAATATTATCTAGTAGATGCGGGATACCCACAAATGAGAGGCTACTTAGGACCATATAAAGGTGAAAGATATCATCTTCATGATTTTCGTAGGGGTGTTCAACCGATGGGTCATAAAGAGGTATTCAATCATGCACACTCTTCCCTTAGAAGTGTTATTGAACGCACTTTCAGAGTATGGAAAAAGAGATGGAGTATTTTACGAGACATGCCTAGTTATCCTTTTGCAAAACAAGTAAAAATCGTTATTGCAACCATGGCACTTCATAACTATATAAGAAGACATGCCAAACGTGATTGTCATTTTGATGAAAGTGAAGATGACCTAAATGGTATTCAAGGTGAAGAAATTGAGATAGAGGTTGATGCACAACAAGAAGATGGTCCTGCAACACAAGAAATGGAGGCATTGAGAAATCATATAGCCGCAAGTATAATGAGTTCATCTACATAGAAATGTATATGATTGCTTGTTCATGACTAGCTTAGTTTTTGTTATGACCATATTTTTTACAATATATTTGTTTTCAATGGAAACTTTATTTATTTTATAATTAAAACAAAATTTAGGATGTGATGGAAACATATTTAATATCAAAAAAAATAATTTATATATAAGATAAAATAAAAGTGCTTTTCCTTTTACCAAACACTTAAACAGAAAAGCCAATTCAAGATAATGCCCTTTTTAGTCATTATACACTACTCACAACACTTTCACAAAAAATTTACCAAACACTCAGAAACTGATTATTGTACAAACAACACTTATAAAAAAAAGTTTATCAAACGCCAAACTGCTTTCTCTCACAGCAAATCTGACAGCGATTATTTTCACAGCACAGCAATGCCAAACTGGCCCTTAATTGATTCTGTCGTTGGTTTTTTGCTCTGAGACTGAGACGACGCAATATATTTGTTTCGCGACGTGGATTCGTTTTGTTAAACGTCGTTATGTGTAATATAACTGACGTGGATTTGATTTTTTAATTATAAATAGATTTTTTTTTCACGAGTTCTTTCAATTTTAGTTTTCAATTAAGGTTTCAACTTCTTCTTGCCCTTTTCTCTGTCTCACCTCACCTCTTAGGAGGCAATTGTTTGGATGTTGGTGTGTGTGTATGTTTGTGTATATGATTCACAAACATACACACATCACCAATTTTCAAAAAAATTGTCTATTTGATTGCAAATCTGTGGCTGCCGTCGTGAAATTTTAGGAGGCAATTGTTTGGATGTTGATGTGTGTGTGCGTTTGTGTAGATACACAAATGCACACACATCATCAACTTCCAAAAAATTGTCTCTCTGATTGCAAATCTGAGGCTGCTATCATCAAATTTCAGAGGCAATTTTTTGGATGTTAATGTGTATGTGCGCTTGTGTATCTCAAAGACACAAATACACATACATCATTAACCTCTAAAATATTGTCTTTCTGGTAAGATTATGATGAGGAACAGAGTTTCATCTGGTAAGATTTCGTAACCCTTGGGATCTCAGAAAAATGTGATTATGTCGGTGGTTTTCTATATAAACCGTCGTGATTATTTCAATTCTTGTTATTAAGTTGATCTACCGACATAGGATAACAAAATCCAAGAAATAAATTGTTAAAAAAAATTCTTATTAAGACGACGGTTTAAATATAAGGTATGACGTATAAAGTGAATAAATACAACGTTAAATTTTATAATACGTAGTTAAATGAAAAACCCCAACGTGGTGAGAGTTAAAGATACCGTCGTAGAACTATACGAGAAAGACGTCGATATATTTATCTTTGCCGTAGTTGTACATTAATTTAATACGGTGGTATTTTGTATTATACCGCCGTGGATTTATTTGTAATTATACGGCGCCTTATACGAAAACTTGGTCGTGTTAATTTCTGAGTAAAAACAGTTGCTTTTTTTGACATCGTCGTCTATACTTTCTACGTCGGTCTATTCATAACTTCTGCCGTTCTTTGTTGGCTTAGATTCTTGGGTGCTATAATTGTCTTCATCCTTGGCATATCTTTAGGGGGAGAGTTATTATTCAAGTGCACAAGATGATATGATCATGTTTATTATTTTTCTTTCACTGGTGTGTTTTTCTTGATGTGGTAGCTTTTAGTTTTTGTTTAAGTCCTTAAAAATAATTTTTTTTTTAAATGGAATTTTATTGTTTTCAAACATAATGTCATTTTATGCTTCTTGTTTAATTATGCAGCTGGGCTTTGCTTCATGTTGCACCTCAAACTTTGCGTGAATATCAGAATTACTAAGACGAACACATGATAAATTGACTATGTGGATTGCAGTGTCATTATCAATCTTATCAGTTGCAGGCCTATAGCACAACATGTTCACAAGAACATTTCTTTGGAAATATGTATGACAAAATGAAGAATAGAAGACACGTAAACAAAAAGGTAAGTATCATATATTATATTTATATGATTGAACCTAAAATTGTGTATGTTGTTCTTGTAGGTGATGAATGGATCTTGGCTATGAAAGATGTGACTTTTGCACTCGTTGCACATTTGGAATTGGTGAGGTTATTGCTAGTTGTCACTTGTCAAACCAAATGGACATCAAAAGTGCCTTCCTTAGTAGTGCTTTCAAGTACCCACACATGTTGAGCAACCTATAGTCACGACAAGATAAAGCCCCTTAAATGCTGCATTGGTTAATCTTTATGCCTTTATATGTTGGGACTGCAAATTGATATTTTCCTCTGATTTTTGCTATTATATATGCTCCCTTATATTCTTTCCTTGCCCTTTGGATTTCCTAACAAAAAAGGGGAGAGATTATTGTGTGAAATTATGATAAAAAGGGGGAGATATTGTGTTGTGGAATTAAGAGAGAGTGGTGTTGTAATTTTGCTTTGAATTACATTTCTTTTCCCACATGCTTCACTGGTTTTGTTGTTTCATAATGTGCAGGGATTCAGAGCTTCGAGTTTAGAGTAGGATTTCATTTGTTAAAGCCCATGCAATTTCTTTTGAGTTGAAATAGTTGGCTTGTCTAGGAAATACCAAAGGGGGAGATTGTTAGTATGAAAATTGTGGCATTTCCTAAACTTTAGCATAGGTGAGAAATTAGTGTGTGAATATATTTTACTGGAAGTTTTGGCACAACGCATTCAATCCCAGATTTTCGAAGAAAGACTTGATCGATATGAGGAAACTGATTTCAGACAAATCATGACATAATCATGCATTCATTATAGGATTCCTAGTTGGAGTTATTTTCACTCAAGTACTCATATGTTAATCTTGTTTCTAATAAGATTAGATTTTATCTCTTGAGATTCTTTCCTAGTTGGACTCTATTTTGATTTAATTTAAAATATTATGTTTTCATTATTCTTGACTTGGATAGCACATTCTATTGGTTTCATTGTGTCAGCTTGTTATATTTAGTTTCCTTGTATAACAATAGATTGGAGCAAAAGCTATTTGAGATAGTGCATAAGCTGGCAACTTTAAATAGGATTCTAAGAATCAAATCTCATCTATTGCAAGAGATTGATCGTGTGGCTTGGTGGACTTCTCTTGCAAATAGGAGAATATGTCTATATAAAAAATATGGCGTGCCTCTCTTTTATTTACACAGCTTTGATATATTTGTTTTGAGCATATAGAATTCCAAGAAAAGCTGTTGTGCATATATTTGAGACAAATCATCAAGTGTTCCATATTTACTTGGTGATTTATCAAACACTTTAATAATTCATATTGCATTCATTTACATTGTTTGGTGACTCATACGGTTGAGGGCACCAAGATCGTGGTGGCTGTTTTCCTCTGGCGAGCTTGAAACAATCGTGACCAGTATTGGGTTCAACATAAGAAGTGTTGAAGATCATCCCGTGACAGAAGTTGAGTTACGAAGAAGCAATTTTAGTCCTCCTACATATTCGATACAAAGAGTCCCTTTATCTCCCAATTTGTTTTGTAGATCACGGCAGAGAAAATCCAAGTAGAAAATCCTTGTTTGTTTCGTGGAAAAGATTTGATGAAAAATAATTTCCCATGTCTTTCACAAGAGATGAGAAATGTAAGATTCCTTTCCCATGTTTGGTAATCCTGAGAAAGTAACCAAGAAATATCACTTTATTTTTTTCACATGTTTGGTTTGTGAAGGAATATAAAACAAAGTTTGTTTAAATTTCCAACTATACCCATATGAAATCAAATTAAAAAACAATGTATTTAATGCTATATTGTAATTCTAATTGTTAATGGCGACAAAATGGTCATGAAAAATATGCATTTAATATCAGCTCATTTTCCCAAATTTCCCCATGAGGGGGGAAAACAATACTCAATGATGAGGAGGGCTTCACTTTTCTCCCTACTTTCACATGTGCCAGACAACATTTTCCATGCCTTAACTTATCAAACATGAAAAAACATTTGATTTCCCATTCCCATGAACCAAATATGTCATATTCACACCTGAAATTAATATTCCTTTCAAAAGTTACAATTAAATACCACTAATTTTTTTATATAAAAAAAAGTCTTTTATTTTTTGTTGGAAAATATTTTTAAAATTCTTAAAAAATTTAAATTGGTTTACCTCCACACTTTTTAATTCTTTGAAAATCTTTAAAACCCGACAAAATAATAAAGACTGCTAGTCACTCAAAATTTGAAAAGTTCCAGGCAAAGCGGGAATCGAAAAGCTCCTGACATAGAAAAGACCGCAGCATTAGATGAAAAATAAAAAATAGAAAATTCCATGTTTTTCTTTTCCATTGATGTTCTCTACTCTCTCTGCCTATATATATAAAGCCACAATCTCAAGGTTGTTTTTTATTTATTTCGTTCGTATTATTTTGAAATGGCGGAGAGGAAAAGCAGCAAGAAACCACAGAGCCTAAACGACAGCCACTATCGCCTCCTCCAAGACCTCGGTTCTCCTTCTGCTAAACCCTTTTCCAGACTCGCTGGTATGAACCCCAACTCTTTACTCTGTCTGCAATTGTTTTATTTTATTTTTATAAATATAATTATTTACGTTAAATTATATTTTCGTGGGTCTTCAAATATTGAATCAATAGAGGACGATAAAGAGGAAATGGACGACTTAAAGCCATCTATGGTGAAGATCGAAGGCAGAGCTTCATCCAAAGACCAAAGCAACAACGACAACAACCGCAGTGATCATAACATTCCCCATTTCTCACTCACTGGTTTTGATTCTTCTCCTGGTACTCATTTTTCGCTTTGCCCACAATCTGTTTGAATATATGCCTATATGACTGCAGAATGCGAAACTATTTCTTACAAGTTGTTTTTATTATTTGTTTTTAGAAACAATTGTAGAACCAGAAAAACCCACAAAGGTTAAGGTTGAAGGTAGACGGCGTCTTTGTAAAATCTCATCGCGGCAAGAAAATGCTCCAGCTGAGAAAGCAGCGGTGCTTGATGAGCCCAATTTTTCTGATATTACTGATTTTGAGTCACCGACACTGCCTCAGAGGAATGCGAGTAAGACTAGTGCCAACACTGGTGGGAATGAGATTAGGGATATTCTTGATGACTTGAGCTCGAGGCTTGAGTTTCTGTCAATCGAGAGGAGGGGTGCCAGAAAAGCTGACATGGTTGAAGGTTCTTTCCCTTCAGCTATTTGTAAAGAAGTTGACGATGGAAAGAAAGTTGATTTGCCTGAGTATGAGAGTGCGGGCTCTTCATTTTCACTTGCTTCTGACATGTCTGATTCTTCTTTAGATGCTACTAAGAAGGCTAGAAATGGTGTTGAGAGTGTGGTAGATGATTATGAAGATAAGGGACTTATTCAATACGAGCCTGAGGGTGACAAATTTGGTAAGCAGACCCATGGTATGAAGATTACTGGTAAAGGTGTTGGTGGAAATGAATCCAGAAGTATGGGTGCGAAATTAGTGCTTGTTGGGGATTCTTTTGTGTCTGAAACTGAAGGAGAGGAGGCAAAGGCTTATTTGCAGAGTGAACCCCGTGGTGGTAATTATGTGGACCCTACAAAACATGATGAAAGACAAAAGAAAAGAGAAGCTTCATTGGTGGATAAGAAACCAAAAACTGAGTGCCGTTCCTTGGTTTCTAAAGGTGGGAAAGGAGAGGTTGATGATGAGGATGGTTGTGTAGTTTTGCATGACAAGAAGATAGTTAAAGAACTGGGGAGGCATGGTGGTAATTCTAAAGAGCACTATGTTTCTGATGAGGTTATTGTGGTTGATGATTCTACAGATGATTCTGGTTTGGAGGATGATAGTTCTATTACTTTAAGTGGCCTCAAATCTACTTACAGGTTGCCAGGTAAGATTGCAACGATTTTGTTTCCACATCAGCGTGATGGCCTAAAGTGGCTATGGTCTCTGCATTGTCAGGGTAAGGGTGGAATCTTAGGTGATGACATGGGCCTGGGTAAAACAATGCAGGTAAAAAGATAGAGTATGATTAACAAATATTTTGTTTTGGAACCCTTTTTTTTTCTTTTGTTTAATTTATGGATTCTGTTTATATCTTATTGCAGATTTGTAGCTTTTTAGCAGGGTTATTTCATTCATGTTTGATCAAAAGAGTAATGATTGTGGCCCCTAAAACGCTGCTTTCCCATTGGATTAAAGAATTATCATTCGTGGGTCTCTCTGATAAGATAAGAGAGTGAGGCTGCTTGCTCTTGTCTTTCATATGATTAAACGATAATCTGTGTAGGAAAACCAAATAGTAATCGCATATTTGTGCTTCCATGTAGATACTATGGGACTTGTGCCAAAGCTCGGCAATATGAGCTTCAATACGTACTACAGGTAATTCCTCTATAATATACTTCAGGTAATTGATGTGTCCTTTGGTCCATTGAATCACAGTCACCCTTCACATCAAATTACAAGTACTTAATATTCGCCCCCCTACATCTAAGATGCAATATATTTTTCAGCGAACAATATTGTTGACCATGTATTTAGCATTTACTTTTTGAATTCAAGGTGTAAATTGGAATTGAGGGAAGCCCGTTTCATTATTAAAGTCTGCTTGTTAAATCATTTATTTGTTTCAAGTTTAACTACTGCAGAATGAAGCCTCATGGTGCCATCCACATAATATATGTGATTTTATTTTGAGTAAACTTTTAGTATGACCGTGGCTGCACTTTTGTTCTTTCATATTAAGAAGTATACTAAGATTCCATTTCATTTTGCTCCCACATTCCATTGCTTTTATTGTAGGACAAAGGCGTTCTTCTCACAACTTATGATATTGTGCGGGTTAATTCAAAATCTTTAAGAGGGGGCCGCCATGTCCATGATGATGAAGGTGAAGATATCATATGGGATTATATGATACTTGATGAGGTGAAAATGAATATGCTATTCAATTTGAGTAATTTATGTCTATTGGTTTGTGTAAGGAAACAATGTAGCTTCTGTTAGTTATGGTCATGCATAAGAAAGGTTATTTGTCAATTCAATTACTCGACCGGCCTCTCATACACCGCAGTGCATGATCCTGTCCAAGAAGGGACTTGTTTAATTATACATGCCATATATTTATCATGGATATACTATGATGAAACTTACATGTTTATTGGTGCATTACTAATTGATTTAGTATTTTCTAAAATTTCAAGTGTCATTTTTTCAAGCAATTTTTGTTTTTGTTTTTTTCAACTTCTACTGATATTTTCAAGAAATTGTTCATTCAGACTTATAAATGTCTTTGAAATTATTAACAAAATGAAGTTTTGTTATTTAGTTAGTACATGTGAAATTTTCTACACCCTAGTGTTCAAGTGAACATTTATACCCACATGACCCATCCATCATACCAACTTACACTTGAAACTCACTTGGTTGCCTGTTCAAGTAAGCAACACTGGATTTCTTTTTATGAAAGGTGCATGAAACAACCTATTGTAGTTGAGATAGGACTTTCTTACTTGAATATAAGAACATCATGTCAACATGCCCATGCTATAAATTACTTTTAGTTTGATGGACCTATTTGCATCTCCAGGGGCATCTCATAAAGAATCCAAGTACACAAAGAGCCAAAAGTTTGCTTGAGATTCCTTGTGCCCATAGGATTATTGTAAGTGGCACGCCATTGCAAAACAATCTGAAGGTACTGTTTGTGGTTTCTTGAAGATTCATATTTGCTATTTTTACTCCATTGTGTTGTATGTTTCAAACAAAACATCGACATAATTTTGTATATTTTCTGTACTTTTGAATTTCAAAATAGGAGTTGTGGGCCTTATTCAACTTCTGTTGCCCTGAGCTACTGGGTGATAAGCAATGGTAATAATATTTTTCATGCTCTGGTTGCCTTCAGTTATGTTTCTGCTTCTGTATTCTGTATGAAACTGCGGAATTTTTTCAGGTTTAAGGAAAAATTTGAGTCTCTCATTCTTCGTGGAAATGAGAAAAATGCTTCAGACAGGGAAAAGCGTATTGGTTCCACAGTTGCAAAGGTAATGATACTATTATCTTCTAATATTCTGTGTTATCTGATTTGGTGTAATCTTTGTTTTGGTGTCAATGTTGAATGGATATGGACCAGAGTATTGCAGTTGTTTGTTTATGTTGTATATCTCCTGTATCTAGCGAACAAAGCAGCTTGCGGATGTGGTGACAGTTGCTCAATTTCCTTAACTAGATGATTTTTATTTGCTAAATCAATAGGAATCAGTGTACAATAATACTTTGTTGTGGCCTCAGTTTCACACTCTTGAACGTTTCTGGTTGTTTTATGACATTCATTTAAAGTGGTAATGGACTAACTCAAGTTTTAAATTAGTTATTTACACTGACATGTAGAATGCAGTTGTACTCGTGATTTTTCCCCCTAAAATTTTGACTTTTTCTGTTGACTCCTTTCTTTGTTATTTATAGCTGCGAACTATGTTTCTTTCAGGCCTCTGATGATATTAATGATAGACAATTACATTTTAAAACAGGAACTAAGAGAACGTATTCAACCATTTTTTCTGCGCCGCTTAAAGAATGAGGTATTTAATGAAGATGATGGTCAAACAAATGCCAAACTTTCTAAAAAGAATGAGATCATTGTTTGGTTAAGATTGACTGGCTGTCAGGTTCGATCTGCTATACTCCAATGACATTTTTTCTCTAAGTGGTTTCACATATTTTCAGTATGTTTCTCAAGTTGATCGTGTATTTGGTATAGCGGAAACTTTATGAAGCTTTTCTAAAGAGTGAGCTGGTTCTTTCCGCTTTTGATGGCTCCCCATTGGCCGCACTTACGGTACAGTTTGTTATGTAGTTCTTAGTTCTTTTTTCTGCTTATTTCTAAAGGAGCTGGTTCTGGCATTAATTTATTTTTTGAATTTCTTCTGTATAGTTCAAATGAAAACAATGGAATCTTGCTTTAATTTATTCCCCATTGCTTTCCTATAATTTACTGAAAAGGTGACCATTGCTCTGTCTTATTGGTCTTTTCACGGTTATTATGTGCTTCATATACTCTGCATGGGGTATGTTGGATATTTTGGAAGGAAAATAGATTGAGTTTCTTGTCCAAAAACATATAAACTAATCAGAGTAAACTTTTTGGAAAATAAGCTACAATTAGCTATTTAACTGGTCCTTGAACTTGTTGATGTTGGAAAACTAATCATCTCTTTATTTGTTTATAACAAATTCATATTTTGATTCATTTTAGATCTTTTTAAAACCTGTCCATTATTGGAAGAACAAACATTGCCTTTCATTCTATTTTAAATGTATTTTGATATTTATCCTAGTAATAGAAGAGAGAAATATTAGTGCAGTTTGTTAATTCTTCTTTGAAAATAATGATGGGGAAGGACTGTTTGATATGAACCAGATCCTGAAGAAAATATGTGATCATCCACTTTTATTGACAAAGCGAGCTGCTGAAGATGTACTAGAAGAGATGGATTCGATGATGAAGCCAGAAGATACTTGCATGGCAGAAAAACTAGCAATGTACATAGCAGATGTTGCTGAGAAAGAGGACTTGGATGAGAGACAGGACTTTGATGAGAAGCATGCCAACATCTCATGCAAAATATCTTTTATATTGTCTTTACTGGTAAGGCTGCAATGCCCTAATAGATTTGACGCTTTCAGTGTTTTTATGCATAATATTAAAATGTCTTCAATGCCTTTTTACAGGAAAACTTAATTCCAGAGGGACATAATGTTCTTATCTTTTCTCAAACTCGAAAGATGCTTAATCTTATTCAGGTTAGTTATTCACAGTTATGTCTGAAATATGCTAATAATATGAATTCTTGAGAGATGTCATTACATGGTCATTTCTGGGCACATCTTAATGCTTTCCTTAGTGAGAATCATAATCTTGATTGCTTGGAGTTTGTGCAATGTGGATGACTATGCATGCCAACTAGGTGCTTAGAAGTGTTAGAAGAATTTAACCTGTCATTATAAAAAATTTCTTGCTGATTGTGATAGAAAAATAATTGCTATTTCAACACATATTCAGCCAACTATCACGATGTTTTGACTAAATTTTCACAAGCAAGTGCTTCATGGACAGCTTGTTCGATTAAATGAGTTAAGTGGTTGTGAAGGATACAAGTTCATGAAGAGGCTAAAATTGTATAAGAAGACATTCAAGGTTTGGAATCTGTAGGTTTTTGGGACCTTAGAAAAGGTGCAGTAATCACAAAGGCAAGGCTTTGGACAGGTGGGAAGAGGGGGGGAGTGGGGTTCAGATGATTCCTGAACTAGTGAAAAAAAATGTTAAGCCTGAGGTTTTTGGGATGGCTTTCAGAGAAGAAACTCCTTGGAGTCAAACAGCAAAAGTTTCTTGAGTGAAACAAAGGAATATCAGTTTGAGGTTGTTTCATAGGTTGGTCAGTTCAGGTGAATATGAAGCGCATGGATACAAGTTATGCCTTGGAATGAAAGACAATTCCTTATCTGCTTACGAGGATGTGAGATTAATTGAGTTGAGAGGTGGTGCAAGAGTTTCTTGAGTGAAACAAAGGGATATCAGTTCGAAGTTGTTTCATAGGTTGGTCAGTTCAGGTGAATATGAAGCGCATGGATACAAGTTATGTCTTGGAATGAAAGACAATTCCTAATCTGCTTACAAGGATGAAAGAATGTGATCAATAAGTTGGAGCTCGAGGATGTGAGATTAATTGAGTTGAGAGGTGGTGATCTTTTTAAAAAAAGAAATATTCCTGCAAGAGTACTGCAAGGGCAATATTACCAGACTTGGATTAGAGACCAATTCATCAAGTAAAAGTTTTGGAAAGGTCCTTTGAGGAGGGGTACAGAAGGAAATTTCTGAGTGTAGAATCAATGTCTTCGGGCCCAGATTGATTGTCATGTTGGTTGGAACAGTACAACCTCTCCATTTTTTATGCCACTGGACAGGGCATGTTGTCATTTGCCAAACATTTCTCAAGACTACATTGCAATTGTGCTTGTGCTATTAATATGTCATAGTCATCCAATTAAGATTAGACAGTGTTCAACCAACAACTGACAACATTAAATTGAGGGAATGCTTTCCCGAAATCAAATGGATTTTAAGAGATAAATAGTGTAGTTTGCTTATTTAACAATTTGTATGCTCCAAATAGGTGAACTGGTAGTATTTATGGATGACCTTTTCTTTACAGGAATCACTAGTGTCCAATGGTTACAAGTTCTTACGCATCGACGGTACCACAAAAGCCATTGACAGAATGAGGGTTGTTGATGTAAGTGTTCTAAATCATTTAATTCAGAATTTTTTTTAACAATAGTTAGTTAGAATGGTCATTAAATTATATTAATCTTGGGTGTAGGATTTCCAAGAGGGTAACGGGGCTCCCATATTTCTCCTAACATCACAAGTAGGTGGTTTGGGCCTTACGCTTACAAGAGCAGATCGTGTGATTGTGGTTGATCCTGCTTGGAACCCAAGGTGTTCGCTTATGATTTTTAATTATAAATTTTAACTTATTTTCTATTTGGTTTGATAAGTCTCTTCATTTCAGAAACAAAAGTATTTACCCATGTCTGCTGTTGTCTTGTATCTGTTGGCTACTTTGAGGTGGTTGTGATTTGTTTTTCTTGTCCATGTGTGGTTTTGATATTCTTTCTGGCTTTGGACAGATATGATCAGTATTCTTTTCCCTTTTGTGTGGAGGGTTTAGTTCTCCCTGTAATCCTAAAGCCTGCTTAAATTGAATTTGAGAACAAATTTTTGATACACGGCCACGGGGGATATCAGATGTTCTCCTAATGTAGTTCTGGAGATAATATCAGTATTCTCACATTTATCACTTTTATTGGTTATCACATGTTTTTAGGTTTTTTTATTTATGTTTATTTATGAGAATCATACTATCTTAATAGAACATATGAAAGTTACAAGAACAAAACAGAGGATAAGATGAGGGTTTATCACATGATGATGATTAAGAAATGAAACTACTTCCACCATATTTCCTTTTTTTTGTAAATTAAGATCAAATATTGAAAAAGAAAATTCTTTGATGTATTTGTGGCGGTTTTGCTGATCAAACTGTCTCTGTTCTCTTCCTATATATCCAATGGAAGATTGGAAATTTTAATAACAATTACAAGAAACCAGGTAAGCTATATTTGTTGCTTAATACTCATGTTACAGCTTACAAATGAAGACAGCATGTTATCAAAGATAATGCTTTTGATACTTTCAATGTTGCCTTTTGGAAAATAACGCTTCTCTTCTCTTTCTATATGTTCTGTGGAAGATTAAAAGTTCGAATTAAGTTTAGATTCATGTGTAAGCAATATGTCCTTTGAAATTCAGTATATTCTTTCTTTGTTGAGGTTAACAAGGATATTAATTGTGCAATTTGTGGTTCGTATATTTCAGTACGGATAACCAAAGTGTGGATCGTGCATATCGAATTGGGCAAAATAAGGATGTCATTGTATATAGATTAATGACTTGTGGGACTGTTGAAGAGAAGATATACAGAAAACAGGTTATTTTCCCTCTATTTAGATGCTGTATTATGAATGATTTTAGAATGCTTAGATAAGTGTTTCGGGGTCCTGTACTGTGGTTTATGTAGATTGCTTCAAGTAGCGAACGCTACATCCTATATCTTTAGGACTTTAAGTATAGCTGCTTAAATGGTTATTGTCTTTTCGTGTTATAAAAAACTTGCCATTCCTCCTATGCTATGCTGTGATAGCATTTCTTCCTGTTTGAATATTTATTTATTTTATGTGTGGTTCAGTTATGCTTCATACTTTGAAACATCATGTAGCACATCATCGTATTAACTCTTCAAAAATATATTGTTTAGATATACAAGGGGGGATTGTTTAAAACTGCAACCGAGCATAAAGAACAGATGCGGTACTTTAGTCAACAGGTGAATGCTTACAAAGTTGTAATTGCTGCTATAGTGAGCATTTTTATATCCTTGACATTAGAGGAAGAGGAGCACTCATTCTATACTTAACTTATATTAATATTTCAGGATCTATGTGAACTTTTTAATCTCCCAAAAGAAGGTTTTGATATCTCCATTACTCAGCAGCAGCTATATGAGGAGCATGATAGCCAGCACACAATGTATGCAATCGTCGGGCCTAATATTTGTGACTTTTAACTATGTTATTTTTATGATAATAAATGCACATGAATCTGTTTTTTTTTTGGGTATAAATCTGTGTTTGGATGTGCATATATTTGAGATTGAGATTAGATTCTGCAATTTGCTCTTTTTGTTCTTAAATTTGACATGTGTATTTGAAATTATAGAATTTTTTTTTCCATCTCATGGTTCCCTCTCTCTCATTCATATCTGTGTTCACAAGTTATTGTATTCTTTTTTTCTCCCAGATGATGCTATATTAGATGTTTCGTTTAGTTTGTTCTTTCACTGGTAAACATAGAATAGGGTACTAATAATGCGTAAGAATCTGACATAAGACTGGTTGTCATATTTTAGTGACTGAGGTTTGTTTGTATATTCTTTAATTTGACGAATTATGTTGCATAATATGATCACTCCTGTCCTTGAATAACATATGAAATTGATAAAATTGTTAGGAATTTTTTTTGAAGTTAAAATACTTGTAATAGTCTTTTTTTGAATTGAAGCAACATAAGTAGTGTTTGTGTTCCTAGATTAAAGAGTAATCCTCAAATCCTAGTAGGGAGCTTTGTGCAGTTTATAGAATTAGAATCTAGAATATTACTTGTATGTGCTTGATTTTTTGGTGCAAAAGATGTTTATTGTTTTAGCCTCAAATGTAGTTTAATTCCATCTCTTTTTTGGGCGTGCTTCATGGATTCATATTTGAATTGACTTTCAGAGTATACACTCCATTCAAGATTTTCTTGCAATTCTACTGTTTACTGTAGGGACGAATCCTTTAAGTCCCATATTGAATTCTTGGAAACACAAGGCATAGCAGGAGTCAGTCATCACAGTTTACTCTTCTCCAAGACAGCACCTGTACCAGTTGTAGAGGAAGAGCAGGAAGCTGAAAGGTAGACCCATTTATTTCTTTAACTTTCGCCAGAACAGTTTTATTGTTAGACTTTTTTGTCTTCTTTTCTTTGGAATCTTTTGCTCGTTGTAAAAAGGTAAATTTCCCTACAGTTGAGCGCTAAGTATGCATGTCAGCACATAAGCTACAACAAACTTTATATTAGTCCGGAAGTGAGTTTCCATTTTTTTAATCATTCTGAGCTTTATCGGATTATTGTTGTTTCCATTTACATCTTTGTACTAGCTAGTTGTAATCTAAAAGCAGATTACTGTGAGACTCAGTTTGACCCAGAAATATCGTTTGAAAGCTTCCCAGTAAAAACTGTGATATTGGTAATACTGAATATGTATTGGGCATTTATGACGAGTTACTGAAATCTTATCTGTTTACTTTGCTATACTGGGCACAGGATCAGGGGAGCTTCAACTGCAGGAAGGTCATCTTCAAATTCTTTACTCGAATGCAATGTGAACGGGTAGAGCTCTATGGAATCATGGCGTTTATCCCATTTGTGAACAGGAAAGAGATTATTGCATCTGATGATATTTTTGGTTTTCATTGTTGACAGGGCTGAATATGCTTTCAAGCCAAAGGATGTAATATTAAACAAGAAGCCTTCTTCACCAAATGATGCGGGTAAACTGACAGAATCGGAGATTAAACAGAGAATCAATAGGCTGTCACAAACTCTTGCAAATAAGGTATTCTTACTCATTATCTACTTTGTTAGCATTTAACGCCTGGTTTTCAGTGAAGATATCCTTCTTTGGAACAAATATTCGTGCTCATTTTAGTTTTAATCCTATTAATTGATTCGCCCTGGGTGATTATATTTTTAAACAATGTCTGCAGGCTATGGTTTCAAGATTACCAGATAAGGGAGAGAAGATACAAAAGCAAATTGCTGAGCTGAATTCTGAGCTTTATAGACTTGGTACAGTGGAAGGAAATGAGAGAAATGTTATTAACCTAGATAATATAACTGGGGAGTTTGAAAGGGTGTTGATATAAGATAATGTTGCTGAGCAATGAAACATGGAAACAGAAAAGGACTACGGTATTATTATTACTATTATGTTCTTGGTTAAATCTGTCAATTAAAAATATGATGCTGTATTTTGTGTCCTATGTCCATATATGTTTTCTGTCTCGAAGTTTTGGTTAGTAAATTTGAAGGCAATGTGATTTGTTTTGCGGTCGCTTTGTTTATTGGTTAATTCTAACAATTCACATGATGAGTATCTACTTTTGGTATTGTTATTTTTATTTTAATCCAAGCGATATTCCAAATTACAAGGGGATGGAAGCCTTTCGCGCATTCTCAATGTTTCATGGGGTTTTGAACATGAGCCTCTACTGATAGACGGGCTGGGGTCAACTTCATATTTAGGCCCATACTGAATTACGGAAAGGTTTGTTTCCTTTTTTAATTGGGTAAAGAGTTTGGTTAGTTTCCTGATACAAGTAGGAGAGCTATGCTCTGTAATCACTATATATACGAGGACTTCCTTGCCTATAACTCACACTTTTCTAACTGAGAGATCAGAATTATCAATATGGAAGTGAACAGAGGAAATCGCGATGAGAGGAGGCCACAACGAACAAGTGTGGAAACAATCGAGTGGACGCTGGAGCACCACAAGCAATTCGTGGACACCATGATCCGATTACAATTGGATGATCTCAGAATCCGTACAGCCAGGCGGACGATCCTGATTGTGGAGCTCATGAACAACGAGGCCTGGAGGCTTTTTCCGCGGTCAACTCTCTTGACCCACATCTCCAACTTCAAGCGTTTCCAGAAAATCCCTTCTCGCGGTTTTCAGAAAACTAGCGCTCATAGTGCTTTGATGAGAGACTTGGAACGGCTTAACATTAACAAGAAGGAGGAGAAGGAGGACGACATGTCGTTTTCATGGAAACTGGAGCATCATAAGAAGTTTGTGGAGGCAGTGATCCAGTTGGAGTTGGGCCGGGTAAAGGTAACCCCAAAGGGCATTCTGAAGGTGATGGACGAGAAGCACCGCCGGGGCCTCACTGTTCGAGCAGTGGCGAAGCATCTCTTGGGATTAATGGTTTTACAGAAAAAGACTCAAATATCACATGCTCAAACTAAATTATCACATTCTCAAACTCAATACTACGCCAAATTGGAGGAGGTTAGAAGAATGAAAGAAATCACCCGCACGTTATCTAATGCAAATATCTCTCAAGTGAAGTGAAGTGAAGTGACTAGTTGTGATTGTATGAGTACAGTGGTTAATGAGATGTATGTTTTATTAATTCAATATGAATAGCATTCAGTTATGTTGAAACTCTTTGTTGTGGGTAATCATTCAGATTTTGGTTAGCCAAGCACTTCAAACTCATATGATTTGAAGGTCACTAGAAACTACATAATTTCGGTTGTCTTTTAGACTAGGACCCCCTCTCCTTATAATAGAGGGGTTGGGCTCAACCCCATATGTAGGGCTGGTCAGCCCAATTGGCCCATTGATGCTTGGGTTATTGGCCCATACTCAATTATGGTGAGAAAGGTTTGGTTAGTTTCCTAATATGAGTGGTTAACGAACTGTTCCGGCAGTATCGTACCATCTCTTCGGGTAAAGGGATTTACAGAAAATGACTTAAACATTTCAAAAAAAATCCACTCGTTATCTTATGAGAGATATAATCTTTGTGTCTCTCATACATCTAATTTAGTATAGTTATATGTGAATATCTCTCTCGTCACGTGAAGACTTGTTGTGACTATGTGGCTAGATTGGTTAATGAGATGTATTTTTTATTAATTGAATATGAATAATTCAGTTCTCTTGAAACTCTTACGTGAGGACTTGTTGTGACTATGTGGCTAGATTGGTTAATTAAATGTATTTTTTTTATCAATTGAATATGAATAATTCAGTTATCTTGAAACTCTTTGATGTGGTTTGCTCATTCAGTTTTTAAATGACCCTTAATGTATGAGTTGTGGTTACCCAAGATGATAAAAAACAAAATAAAATATGATGAATTTCTGACTTTCTTTTCCAACACTTCAAACAAGTTTATTAACCAAATTGTGGATTTGAGCTGGGAATAATTGAACAATTTATATTCCCTCTCTAAAAAAACTGGATAGAGGTATTCATGCTCTCCACTGTAAACTATGGCCCTATTTGGTGGGCTGGACTAGATAAGACTTTTTCAATTAAAATGGACATGAGATTTGTCTCTCCTCTCCTCTCTCGTCTCTCCTCTCTTCTGATTTTTTTTAAAAACTAATTTCTTTGTTCTTGTTTCTTTTTTTTTTTTTTTTTTTTTTTTTTTTTTTTTTTTTTATTATTTTATTTTATTGTTAAATTTTATTGAATGATGTGTGTTTTTTGGGTTTGATTTATTTTGGTATTTTTTTTTTTTTTAAAAAAAAAAAAATTCATTCATCTTTCTGTTTCCCAGAATTGAAGATTTGGGTTAGATGTTGAGTACATTTTATTTTATTTATTTTTCACTTAATTTTCTTCATTTGTGATGATTTAAGAGAATTTGTGTAAAATTGGTGTATTGGGGTTTTATTAGGGACAAATGGTTTTATTGGAGTCTGATCTTTGATGCCTTGTGATCGATCAACTGGAATTTGAGAAGTGGGTCTTTATGATTTTTGTATGCAAGTCCCAATTCATCATAAAATAAAAAATTTGTTATGTTTTGTGAATTTGAGAAGTGGTTGATTAGATCTTTTCATATGCAAATGGATAGAAACTGTAAGGCTATCTAGCAATTTGGGGATATTTTGATTGCATTTGGGTAGTTTGGTTTGTTCAACGTCTCGAAGATCTTTCAAATCTGGTTTCCAAATTTTGCATCATTCTTTTTATTTTAGTTTAATGCTGTTTTTAGTTTGTATTTTCTTTTATTAGAAAGAGGAAGAAAGATACTGAAGAAAAAAAATAAAAGAAACACTGAGGCAAAAAGTTCGAATTTTGCATCTGATTATTGTTAATCAAAATTATTATTTTGATTTATTAAAAAAAATTTAACTCAAGTCTGTTGTTTGGTGCAAAAATGAATAGGACTGGACTCAAAGCCTAGTTAGTCCAAGCCAACCTAATGCAATGTTTAAAAGCCCATCCTAATCAGTCCAAACTAGCTCACCAAACAAGGCCTATAAATTTTGGTTTGCAAGTTACCCTTAAATAGATGAAGTAGCAAACTAAAACAAAATAAATAAATATACTCAAACACACACTCACGTTGCGCCATTCTACGAAAAAGATAGCCTGCAGTTTAACAGGACATCAAGGGCTGACTAATTTACTCATACATGATGAACAGAAATCATGCTAGCCTAAGTTTGGAGCTATTTCAAGGATGGTGGGTGTTTTCCAAAACTTTTTTTTAGTTTGGGATTTCAAATATGAGCCCACGAAACAGGTTTTTTGGGCTTTGGACTTAAAATTGGATTCAAGTCCAATATCAAACAGGAAATTCTAAGTTTCCTACTTTATTTGGATTAGGATTTTTGTTTTAGGTAGGGCTTTTATCCTATTGTCTCTAGGTTTTAGATGATTATAAATACCGCTTTTATTTAATTAATTATAGAGAGAGATTAGAGATTAGAGTCAAGCGTGAAAAGAAGAAGAAGAAGAAGATGGCGGGTTTTGTTTGAGAATTTGGGTTTAGCTGAAAAGACAATGACGTTTAAATCCCAGGTAGGATATCTCAATTCCAGGATACATTGGATGAAACCACTGATCCCAGACATAGAAAAGTATTGCAATTCGTTGGGTGATCCCAAGGATGAAGTAGAAAATTTCAAAGAAATAATGAAGGAAGGCGCTGCACTCGTTACCAAGTGCTCCACCATTAGCCGGTGGAATGCCTTCAAACAGTACAAATATTCCAAGAAGCTTCATGATTTGGACAAACGTCTCAGCATGCAGTTAACCATACTCAAGGAGGAGGGAGTGAGGGAATGGAAGAAGAACTTGTATAGCTTAAAGCACATTGGGGAGAAATTTGAGAAATTGGAAAGTTATTTAATTGTTATTTAGTTTCCTTATATTTGTTGAATGTAATTTGTAATTGATTTGGAGTAGTCTCCAAGTAACCTACTTCTCCTCATAGTTAACCTAGTTCTCCTTTTGGCTCCATCCCTCTACTTGCAGCACCTGGGGCACATTGGATTTGAGTAGAAAAGCCAAAGCAGGGTGGCTCATAGCTCTCTCATTAGGCCGGGGGCTGTAGGAGGGTACATGGATAGCCTCAGATTCAACCAGCACATCAGTCTCTTCCAGTAACCTGGAAGATTAATCGTTATATTAGAAAACAAAAACTCAATTAATGATTTAAACAAACTAAAGAAAAAACCTTAAAAATTTGATCTATAAAATTAAAACGTGACAAATGCTTATGAGCTACAGGATATATCAACCTTAAACTTGTCGGCAATATTGACATGTTAAAAGCACAAAATTAGTGACTTTAAAATCACCATCCGCATCTCACAACTAACCGCCGCGATTAACAACTGTATGCTTAAACTAAAAATTGTACGAGTGCAATATTCTCAAAGGGATCTTTAAAAAGAGACCAATTTTGAATATATTTGAAAGAAAAAAAAAATTGATGTATTTTTTCTATTGCATTTAACTATTGCATTGAACTATTGAATAACCATTGAGGATGCTCTTAACAACATAATGCATTAATTACTGTATTTTTTTCTCATTTTTTATTGACATATGGGTCCCATAGTTAGCCTATTGCAATTACAATAGAGGGTTCATCACATAGCACCCTCTATTGCAATGAACTAAATCACACCATTGCAAGTGAAATTTTACCGTTTTAGTTCAATTTTATGCAATAAAATTGCATTGATCCTAACCATCACAAGTGCTCTTAGGCCTCTATATATATGCTCAGATGCTCTTACCTTGTCACTTTGGTGGCTCCTTATCTGAATCTCTGTGCTCTTACCTTGTCACTTTGGTGGCTCCTTATCTGAATCCCTGGACTGACTCCTCACTTAAACAATATGAGATTGAATGTGTTGCGCCAAAACTTCTATTAAACAATATTCACACATTAATTCCCAACCTATGCTAGAGTCTAGGAAATGACAATACAATTTTCATACTAACATTGATGTGGTTTGCTCATTCACTTTTTAAATTACTCTTAGTGTATGAGTTTTGGTTACCCAAGATGATAAAAAATAAAATAAAATATGATGAATTTCTGACCCTTTTCCAACCCTTAAAACAAGTTTATTAACCAAATTGTGGCTTTGAGCTGGGAAACTTTGAACATTTTATATTCCCTTTTTTCAAAAATGGACAGAGGTATTGAGTGCTGTGGTTTTTTGGGTTTGATTTATTTTGGTATCTGTTGAAGATTTGGGTTAGATGTTGAATACATTTATTTTATTTATTTTTCACTTAATTTTCGTCATTTGTGATGATTTAAGAGAACTTGCGTAAAATTGGTGTATTGAGTATGATCATTGATGCCTTGTGATCGATCAACTGGAATTTGAGAAGTGGGTCTTTATGATTTTTGTATGCAACCCCAATTAATCATAAATAAATAAATAAATTTGTTATGTTTTGTGAATTTGAGAAGTGGTTGATTAGATCTTCTCATATGCAAATGGATAGAAACTGTACGGCTATCTAGCAATTTGTGGATATTTTGATTGCGTTTCTGGGTAAGTTTGGTTTGTTCAACATCTCGAAGATCTTTCAAATCTGGTTTCCCATCCAAATTTTGCATCATTCCTTTATTTATTTATATTTATATTTTATATTTTTTATGTTGTTTTTATTTTGTATTTTCTTTGATCAGAAAGAGGAAGAAAGATACTGACGAAAAAATAAAAGAAACAGTGAGGCAAAAAGTTCGAATTTTGCATCTGATTAGGATTGGACTCAAAGCAGCCCAATTCAATATTTAAAAGCTCATTCTAACTAGTTCAAGCCAACCCACCAAATAAGGCCTATAAATTTTGGTTTGCAAGTTACACTTACATGGATGATGCAGCAAACTAAAACAAAATAAATAATGCTACACTTACTACATTTTTATCCCACATTTCTATACCACATGATTTGGCATGTCCACATCATATGCCACATCAAATACATCAATACAAATTTATAAATAAATCAATGAAGTGTATTTTAATAAAGAAAGTTTAATTAACAGTTTTTTTTTAAAAAAAAGTGCTAATAAATCATAAAAGAAAAGAAAATATTAAATAATTTTAATTGATGTGGCTGTCCACCTCATTTGCCACATAAAGTGATATGAGAATGTGGTATACAAATGTGGTAAGAGTAACATTATTCATAAATAAATATACGCAAACACACACTCACGTTGCGCCATTCTACCAAAAAGAGAGCCTGCAGTTTAACAGGACATCAAGGGCTTGACTATGAAGGAGATCTTGTATGGGTTAAAGCATATTGCGGAGAAATTTGAGAAATTGCAATTGGACACTGCTCAACTTGTTAGAAATTTGGAAAATCATTTAACTGTTAATTAGTTTCCTTTTATTTGTTGATTGTAATTTGTAATTGATTTGGAGCAGTCTCCAAGTAACCTAGTTCTCCTCATAGTTAACTTTGTTTAAATATGTAGCCTTTTGGCTCTATCCCTCTACTTGCAGTACCTGGGGCACATTGGATTCGAGTAGAAAAGCTCAGACTTAAGTTGTTCTTTTTTGACATCTATTGAATTGAACCGTAGTTTTACTTGCAATGGTACAATTCAATAGTTATATCTAGTTATCAGTGTTTTACGTACTCAAATAAAATAAAAGGGATTAATTTAACAACACTACAAATTGTACAAGTGCAATATTCTGAAAGAGATCTTTAAAAAGAGACCAATTTTAAATATATTTGAAAAAAAAATTTAATCGATGTATTTTTTTTTCTATTGAATTTAACTATTGAACAACCATTGCAAATGCATTAATTTACTTCTTTCTTAACAACATAATGCATTAGTTACTATATTTTTTTTCATTTTTTATTGGCATATGGGTTTCATAGTTAGCCTATTGCAATTACAATAGAGGGTTCATCACCTAGCACCCTCTATTACAATTGCATATATTGCAATGAACTAAATCACACCATTGCAAGTGAAATTTTACTGTTTTAGTCCAACTTTATGCAATAAAATTGCATTGATCTTAACCATCGCAGATGCTCTTATGCCTCTATATACATATGCTCTTACCTTGTCACTTTGGTGGCTCCTTATCTGAATCCCTGGACTGACTCCTCACCTACTATGTGATTTAGCATAGGGAAAGCACCTAGCATTGAAAAACTGTACCATAGTAACCATGCTTCCTCAACAATACTTACACTTAATGAAAGAAGATGCTTGAAAGGTAGGGGTTTTAATGTGATTTTGGAGAAAGGTTGAGTGTTCACTAGCATGGGTTTTTTAATAGGGTATTCATGGGAGTAGGAAGGATTTAGGGTAGATCTTGCTTGGCATGATTTCCCCCCTAAGTGCCAAATTAGAGTTTCTGCCACAAACAAGTCATTCGCTAGAGCATGCTGGTCATCTAGCTAGTAATCTAACTTGGCACCACAACCCAGGTGATTTTGCCTAGCATCTGTCGCTTGTAATTCAATATCACCGCCGATAGCCAAAAAAAAAAAAAAAAAAAAAAAAAAAAAGACAATTTTTCATTTTTTTTTTTTTTATCAGCAGTCTGAACAGTCTCTTCAATATAAATACTTAAAATAGTAGCAAAATATAATTAAAAAGATGAGATGAAAAACGAAGAAAACTCTGGAAAGTAAAGGATGCCGTGACCTATCTCCTAATATCAGATACCCTTCATGTACAACATATGGAAATAAACGATTATTATGCTGACCAGAACAGAACGGATATTCTCAGTGTCCTGCCACTTTTTTCTCTAATCCATTCGCCTCAAGAACAGAGAGACTAGTGAATTCAAGGGCAAACCAGCTTAAGACGCCAGACTACAATGCAATGATTAGATCAAGGAGGAGGTCAAACCTCTGGCGAACAGCCTCTCTTCCAGGACCTTGTTTAAGTGACTCAACCAACAACTCTGGCTGAACAAAGACAAAGGAATGTACAAAGGAACCCTACTAATATACCACCATGTGTATTTTCAAGAGTTTCAAACTGAAAAGGTGGCTAGTTAAAGCTTGACGAGCGGCTCCATCTCCCTTGCAAGTAATCTTCTAATGAGATGCTTTGCTCACCACTGCTAGTAGAAAGGGAATCATCTTCCAAGTCTAGCAGCGCAAGGTTAAGATGGGATTGAATGTTAGAAGGAAGTGCTTCTCCGTCCAATGCTTCAAGTTCTTCTGATGCACTGACCTGTTGCCTTGCACACCTTGTAACTTCCTCATCTCCTTGGAGAAGCTTCAAAACCTGGGATTGAAAAAAGAAATCATCACCAAATAAATAAATCTGAAGTTATATAAAAACCAAATAGTTAAGTAAAATTCAAAGCTGAAAGTGAAAGCAAAAATTGAACTTACAAGGTTGATTGGAGGCCGAAGCTTAGGTGTATGTCTAATGCAAAGGTTAGCAGCCAAAACCATTCTCTCAATTTGATCCTGGTCGTAGTCACTACTCAGGCTCGGATCTAACAGTTGGGCCACGTTCCCACTCTTCAATATTGGCTTTGCCTGGAATCAACCCCCATTCATTGACATAAATCAATTAAGTACACTTTCACAGAATCACTATTGCAACTTCTTTGTAATAGCACATTTATTGGACACGAAAAAATAGAAATGTGCTTCCTTCTCAGAAGTAAGTTGCATTCCATTTAATCTTACATATTCATGACAATCACAATATTCAGAAAGAGTAGACACGAAAATAATTCCATGCCCCATGTTTGAACTTACCCACATCACCAGACTTTCCTGGCCCTTTGTATCTTTACTGTAGATTGGTTTTCTCCCTGAAAGAAGCTCAAGGACTACAACCCCAAATGCATAGACATCAATTTTATCACTCACTTTGCCATGCATGAAGTATTCTGGAGCCAAGTAACTGGCACAGTAAAGAGTGTTAGAAAGAATACGTGAAGGGGAATATATAGACTAAAAGAAGACACTACACACCCAAATGTTCCTGCAACGTCTGTGCTACTAATATCAGATGACGTCGATGCCCAACTAGCAAGTCCAAAATCTGAGAGCTGCAGAACCATGATAAGGGGATGAGCAGATGAAGCTTCAAATAATTAACAAAGAATATTGAAGTTATAGCACAGAACCTGTGGCTCAAAATCATCTGAAAGAAGGATATTGGAAGACTTCACATCCCTGTGGATTACAGGTTCTTCACAGCCATAGTGTAGATAATCGAGGGCCTCTGCTACACCTACGGCTACATTATATCTCTGCTTCCAACCAAATGCATTCCCATCCTTCTTATTACCTTGATCAGAAATTATCCTTTATGAGTTAAGAAAACTGAAAATAGGGAGAGAAAAAAGAGAGTGAAGTTTTCGAGTCCAAAGAAATAGTTACCATAGAGGTTCTCTTCTAGGCTTCCTCTTGATATAAAATTATAGACCAAAAGTAAGTTGTTTTCGTCGAAGCAGAATCCAAATAAGGAGATTATGTTCTTGTGGTTTAAAGTTGTGAGTATCTCAATTTCATGAACAAACTCGTTCAAGATATCTCCAGATGGCTTCAAGAGTTTCACTGCCAACTCTTTGCCATCTGAAAGGCACCCTCTATAAACACTACTACTGCCACCTTTACCAACCATGTTCTCTGAAAAATGCAACTTACGAATTGTTAGTATAACATCCAACTTTGAGTCAACTCAAAACCAGGATTGTAAAATTAGGGAAAGAAACAAACCAGGCCTGAAGTTGGAGGTCGCCAACAAAAGTTCCTTATAGCAAAACAGTGTACAACTGGATGAATATTTCTTACATAAATCCAAAAATTCTTCAGGAAGGGGCTCCATGCCATGGTGAGGAGATAGAGGAGGGCAGACTGAGTTAGACCCAAACGGCACAATTGCTCCACTTATTCCATTCAGCATGGAAGAACAATCTTGATCCTGTCCAGAATTCACCAGTTTGTGATCAGGATAGACAACAGCTGAAGTATTCCAGCTCAATGGTCTCAAGGCCCATCCAAAAACAGATGTCTTTTTCTCAGTTTTCTCCATGCATTGTCGCTTTGGTAGAAATGTGTGACGAAGAAGTGACCACCCAGGTTTGAAACACTGCGAATCTTGAATCTTGATAGAGTTTGATAAAATGTCGAGTCTTTGGATTGGTACCAAGGCCAGTGAATTTTCTTCACCATCTTCCCCTTCCAACTCATCAGGTAATTGAGTCCCAGAGGTTTCCCGAAAAACTGAATCCGCTGCACAATTCTCACAATTTCTCTTTAGCGTTTTCTTGCCACACTTGGAACAAGATTTTCTTATTAGATGTCGACATTGATTAAGTTTAGCATCATTAGGTACTTTTGCATTCTTGATCAGTGACAAACTAGTATTTACATAACTCTGGTTCTGATCATTATCTGTTCATCGACAAGGCAAAAAAGCAAAAGAGTCAAGCAGAGTAATAACACCAAAAACAAATTTATAACAAAAACACACTCTAGGAATCATCCTTGGAACTAACATCAACAAAACCCAGAAGAAGAATTATCCAAACCTTGAATTTTATCTGCATTGCTATCAGGTCCGTTCCTCTTGAATACGACTTTGCCATTATCAACGGCAAAAACCGAGAAACTTCTGGACAACTTTCTCGCACAGTACTTGGCAACAGAGGCAGATGACCCGATTCTATGGTGAGTTTTGGAAGTTCCAACAATTGTAGCAGCCGCATTGTATGATTTTGCTTCTTGTACTAGAAGCTTCCGGACAGAATTTCCTCTACAGACCTTAAGCTTCAGATCAACCTGTTTACAATTCAAGCATTCTCAACCTCCAAAGGAATTAAAATTAAAAAAATTTCTTTCAGGTGGTTTTTTCTCAGGAGAAGTTAACATAAAATAAAAAGTAAAAATGAGGAACTCAACCTGCTTTAAGTTGCAGAAACCTTCATAAGCAGAGAGCACAGAATCGAATGTCTTTACCAAGAGCAAAGACGAAGTCCCCTCTACAAAACCCAGAAACCAAATTCATTCAAACAGAAACACAGAAACCCCCAAAAAAAAAAAAAAAAAAAAAAAAAAAAAAACAAACAAACAAAAAGAGAGAGAGAGTGCAGACCAGAGGGGGTGTGGAGGTGGTCCTCAAGGACATGAATGGCGATGACATTGTCACCAGGCTCCGCCACTTTGACGAGTGCCCACGTCAGCAGCTCCTTGCTGTGTGAATCTAACTTCACCCCGACCAGCACCGTCTTCCCACCACAACCACCGCCTTCTCCGGTCAACACCTTCATCTCACCAGCGGCTGCCTTCAGTCCTACGTTGTTTCTTTCCCAGAGAAATCAGTCACTCCAACGGCACTGGCGTAAGAAATGGAAACTGGAAATTGGAAATTGGGAAATCAAATCCTGGTTGGTTGGTTGGTGAAGATGGAGATGGTCTCGGAGGAGAATCTTATGCTGTTTCTTGGGCTGCTCTACCTTGTTCACTCGCTAATCTCTCTCTCTCTCTCTCTCTCTCTCTCTCTCTCTCTCTCTCTTGTGCCTGCTCCAGATAGATGAGCGTCCGGCCATTTTGTTCCAAATAATAATAATAATAATAATAATTAATACTAATAATAATGCACCCTTCTTTACTAACATTCTCATTTTCATAAGCACACGAGGTGCAACAAATTAGAACAAGAGATCTTTTTCTTTTTCGCGATGTTTTATTCTGTTTTGGTAAAGACGCAAAAAGCAAAAAGAATACAAACCCATGTGCTCGATGGAAAGGTAACACAAGAATTCTTTATTATTATAGATTTTTGCTCCATCCATCCAAAGTACAAACCCATGTGATAATTAATATAAAAGGGCAACGAATCTTCTACTTCTACCTGCACCGTCCTTCTGTCTTTTTTACATTTTTAACCCTATATCTTATTGTCTTTGATATAAAGCTCAGATAATTTTCCTCTTAAAAGGAAAAAGAGGATTTTTTTTTTTTCTTCAGAAAGGAATAAATAAAGATAATATTATATATTTTCATGAGAAACATTGAAGATTAATTAGATTATTATGTGGAAGAGTTTCATAAGCTCTTCCTATGTATCCAAAATTGGTTTCCTGCTGCATGATTCGGTGGTGAACCGTTGTATTACCAAGACATTAAACGAGATAAATTACTAGTCAACTGGGACGTGGACTAGAAATCAAATCATGCCACAACTTGCTTGCCAACAAAACAAGGAACAACTAAACTAGTAGTTAATCTCTCTCTCTCTCTCTCTCTCTCTCTCTCTCCAATAGTAAAGTTATTTGCGTTTTACTCTAACATAAAGAGAGTGGGATCGAGTTCTCGCTTTTCAGTAACAAAGTGTCTTTTGTTTGACCTAATCATATTCTAAACTAGCTTTATGCATAAAGAAGAGATTGAACTAAAGTGTAAAAGGATGAAAATATTGTTTTAATCAACCGACTTAATCGAGATAATAGTAGAGTTTATATGAGGCATAAATTTTGTTGTTGAAATCCTACATTTATCTGGCACGTCCATCGTGTGTATATATGCGGGCTAACGTGGGTGGTGGTGGGCCTTTTGTCTCTTTCTTGAATATTGCCAAAATTGTATAACGAATGCGGACAAGTTGATACATAGATTCTTCCTTCGCTCTCTAGCATGTTTCATGTTAACGTCTTCCTCATATTAGACCTCACCAACTCATACACGATCTCAAAATCCTCTTGTAATTACCTTTTAAAGATTTTAAGTACTTATGATTTTTATTAATTTGGCGATTTCCAAATTAACTGTTTTTTGTTTTGATGATATTGTATTATTCAAGGATCCGGTTCCATTAAAGAAAAATCAAACAAAGGATTCGAATCCATTATTTAAACTTGTTTTACAACAATAATCAATTTTTTTTATTTAAAACAAATGGAGGTGAGCTAATTTAAAAAATAAAGTTATATTTGAAATTTCGTTCGCATACGTTGTTTTCCTTTTTTCAATTTCCAAAGCCATTGCCATTTGACAAAGAGGGTTCCCCATTATAATACTGCAGATTCATACGTAACAATGTTAATCCTTTGAAATCAAAATTCAGTCCAGTTGATAACATCACTATCGACTGCTAAGAACCCAACCTGATATTGTTTTGTATATCTACTATCTAGTAGTATCTACGCTGAAGAATGACATCAATCTTTAAACACAAAGGTTACTGAAGTACACTTTATGAGGTGCATCAGACACCACGATTTGGGCAAGCATTTGCGAAGTGCGATGGATCTCCACAGACAAAACACCTTCTACCAGAGATGGGATCACCAGTTGCTGACACAAAAGTCACACCAGCAGCATCTACTGCACCCCGGCCACCTCTACCATGGCCAACACTCCGACTGGGGTTTGATGCTGAGGCACTAACATTTACACGCTGAAAACCTCTTCCTCTATTTCCATTGTTGATGCTATCCTCCCATCTGCGCAAGGATAGACCAGTAATGAGATAGGTCACCATAAAAAAAATACAGACCAGCATTTTAGGTACTGTATGTTAGAGACAAGCTTCAATCTAGATCATCTTCATTTAGGTCATCTCCATCCAGATGAAAACCTCAATCTAGAGCTGCCTGTTAGAGACAAGCTTCTACTAGAGTATCGCTCAAGGCAGGCCACAATGGATCATTTACACAGAGTAGGCATGAAACATTGTGGCTACCTGTGAAGGCCATTTGACAGCTCTTCCAAAAAACAATCAAATATGGCCTGTTTGGTAACACTTCCATTTTTGGTTTTAAGTTTATATTTTTAATTAAAAGAGAGGAAATCCATAGGAGAGAAGAGGGAGAAAGAAAGGATTACGAAGGGGGAGGAGGGATGGTACCAAAAACCAAAAATTAAAAGCAATTCGAACTAGTTTTCATTTTCATGTTTTTATTTCACACATTCTCTTTCATTTCTCCTATCCTCCCAAAAACCACCACCCCACACCCCCACCCCCCCCCCCCCCCCCCCCCCCCAATATATTCCCTCTATCATTAATTACCCATAAGAAAAAAAACCTGGAAACTAAAAACCAAATACTAAGAGTTACCAATGGTCCCTAATGAAGCAATTTGAAGTACATGATATATATTGGGTACATACACAAAGAAGTTGCACGCCTGCGACTGACATGAGTAGAATTTTCTTCCTCTGTTAGTCGTTGTATTAGCTGTTCGTAAAGCACACGGTGCACCACATGCGCTACATGAGATTGACACTTGCGCTGCTAAATACACACCATTATCAAAACTCATTAGTTCGATCAAGCGGGGCTTGAAGTTAAATGGGATATAAACAAAATAATGAAGCGTGGGGCAGGTGAGCCAGGGGGGCTCATCTGCTAATGTGCTTTAGTAATTCAGAGAATCAATAATCCCGAACATGATGTCTTCTGCTTGAATCCTAAAATCTCCCAAAATAGTTTGAAATTATGCTCATATAGGTGCTAGATCTACATTTTAGGGGTGGTGTTTACTGTTGAGAACAGATGGATATATCATATCATGGAGGCTTGTACCTTATCATCACCACCATAAAGAGGCATATGTTAAGCCTTCATGTCGGTAACCTCACACTGGAACCAGCATAATATATTCCCAAAAGGTGTCATACACTTTAATTTAATAGTTCCTAAGAAGAATTCTATTTCCCTAAAACTTCCAAACCTATAACGTTGATGACATGTTCCACTTTCATACTGTCTAACATTATATGATCATTTGCTCCCATCCTCAACGATTATACTTGTCTTGGTCACTCAGTCCATGCAACAGCTTCTGACAAAATATGAACTCAAAAAATATAAATGGAAGTTCAGCAGTCATACCACTTTGAACATTCATAGATTGAGGCCTCGAACTTCGAGGACCTGAAGATTGGGAAGGGCAATTGCCTGAAGAATGCCCTGTTTGATGACAGTATATGCAAGCACCCTGCCTGGTATTACTTCGTTGGACATTGTTTGGCATTGCTGGCCCACCACGCCCTCTCGCTGAAGAACATATTATAAATCTTGTCAAAAGATTGGTATTTCACTTATTGGTGACGCATAACCAAAATAATATGAGCGATCTTCAGTTGGAGGAGATAGTCAACACTCAGTACACAAAATTTTAAATATTGCACATAAACACCTTGAATAGGCAACTTTTTCCAGATTTATATGCTGCCGAATGATGAATATAGGACAACTATAAAATTAGATATACTACAGGTTTTGTTGAAGCAACACATCTTCTACTGTCTAAAAATGCTTCACACTTATGCTTAAAATGTCCTTTCACATTCACGATCTTGGAACTGATCTTTATCCGCTAATTCTATCTTATCACAAAATTTAAGCTAGGTGTCATACCATTCCACCAATTTTTCTTTTATGCACTGTAATAAACAGAACTCCAAGAAACAACGCTTTCTAATATAAATTCGAATTTCTGATAAGTTTTCAATAAAAGTTTATCCTAAACTATTTAGCGTATTGATTATAAGAGATGAATAAATTTCATCTGCATTGTGTAATTTAGATAAAAATTAGAAGATGAAAACCCCTACACCAAGAACTTTTTCTCCCAAGTTGTTCCACTTTTTCATTTCTTTTGGACATTTATCATCTTCTTAGTTAATTTTCATCACTTCAGTCCTCAACTGGTAATGATAGCTGGAGACACACGTGAAAATATTAAAGTAATAGAAGCATTATAATGAGAAGTCCAAGTGACAGGAATCGTCAAAGTAATGGAAATAGGATGTGTTACAAAGTGCAAAATTCAAGAGCACATATAAGTTGTTCATTTACAAGTCAAAATAATGTTATTGACTTTCAGTAGACAACTTTTTCACATTATAGATATCACCCACTGTTACCAGGAGAATGGAGAGTTGTCTGTTCAGCGGTAGGTGAAATAAGTATATTCTTGACCATATGTATAGTTCGACAAAGGGCACATTTGGCCCCAAAGTGCACTCTTATTAAGGTTGTGTTTTGGGTTATAAGTACAGATTTAGTAAGTACACTTTTATCAAGACTGCAAGTTTACTGTTAGTTAAAGAGTTATGTGTAAATTCTGAAAGGGCAAGGTAGATCTTGTAATTACACTAAACCGCAAGAGGCGTAGTGTATTAACTCTTTTGATTATTACTGATAAATGAGCAAAAGATAAAATTGGAGAACCAAATTCTAATGATTTATAGTGCGCAGGAACCATATTTTGGGTGGTTCCAAACCGCAATAGGGCGTAAGGGGTGTAGTGATCCCAGTAAAACTGATATTACCTTTCTGAGTAACTCTTGAAAAAGACAATCCAAAAACAACATACCCATAAAGATTATTACTAATGCAAATTTCAGAATACAGCAGACAATTCCAGACATGAGTTCCACTCCAAAGTTTAAAAAAATAATAATACAAAAATACAGCAAATGATCCACTAATCCAGAGTTCCAAATATATCTCATTGTTTAGATACGATAATTATTTGCATAAATAGAAAACTAAGCATATGAGGGTCAGAGTAGTGGGCGGTACCCAAGAAAAATGATGGAAAAAAAATATGAAACTAAAAGGCTACTATAATTTGTACAAAGATAATGCAAAGATAGCATCAGTAACAAAATTCATATGCAAATTGGTCGTAATTTTGAAAAAATCAATTATTTTACACAAATTCAAACAGTTGCTCAAAACAAACAAACCTGACAACCGAGAACCAGTTCCACAGATTTCCGTCAACTGTCTAAGAGTCTCATCACAGCCACCAATGCAACCTGATTACATGTATGCATGAATTTCCATGATAGACCAACTGAAGCACAATACTCTACCAAGAAAAAATGTATGGTGTAAGGGTGTGACATTGAGAATGTTTGTGTGTACAAGCATATATATGTTAGAATTCTGAGCCAATGTCTGCACAGAAGTGAAAACAATAAGCTAATTTGATGAGTAAATGGAAACCACAGGAAAAAGAACAAGGAATGGCTTCTATTCAAAAGTTAGAGATGGATCTATTGAGGAAAAACTGATGGCCTCAAAATTCAGTGCTTGTTAGTTGCTGTGATTGGAAAGGCTGATGGAAGCACTCTACCTCAAAAATATTTAAGCAGTTAATGTGAAATATGATATTAATACATTGGATGATTGTCTGAGGCAGGGAACAGAACTCGATATAGGATGTATTTAAACATGCCCATCTTACGTTGGAGTCGCACTTACCCAAATGATTGGCACTGTAGTCTGGTGGTATTTCCAGCCGGCGAAATGTAAATTGAATCAAGTAAACAGGACCTGAAAAATTAATATTACATGGAAGAAAATGAGATCTGAAACACAAGGATTAGTCACACACATAATATTGCACAACGTGTGCCGCATGATTCTTTAAAGCAGGTGAACTACATAAACAGTTCATGTGAGCACCAAAATTAAAATAATGCACTAGTGCAACACCATGTGTATTCATGTGAGCACCAAAATATTAACAGATCCCTTTCAATTGATGTATTTGGAAAGGTCGGTGAAATATTAGGAATAGGCTTCTCAAAGGCTGTTGATACACATTCTGAATACTAGCTGGACCCACCACCACCCCACATGAGCAGATAACATGGATACAGGTAGGAGGTATGTCTCCTAGTTTTGGATACAACACTATCAAAGTTACCCAAAAGATGTAATTCTTAATAATTTCCTCGTGCTATGAATATTAGAAGTGGGTTCAATTTCACAAAGAAATTGTAACAGCTTATATAGACTCCAAGTTCAGGGTATTAGATGAAATGAACGTTAATAGCTAGAGGATAGCTGAATTTTCCATCTACATATAAAAGCACAAAAACTAAAAGTTAAGCGCATGTTGAATAGCATTTGTTTCAGTTATTTAGGTAACTTTAAAGAAATGAATAATAATAATAATAAAAAGGAACCTGGAGTGCAGGAATTGCAAACGTTAGTTGTTACAGCTGCTTCTGATACAGAACCAGGGAGCCAGACAACATTCCTACACTAAAAATATGTACCAAACAGGTATTACAATTATTATGACCACAGTGATGTTACGAAAAATGAAATATGATGTAGTCTCATAAAGTTTCACAGACTTCCTATTTTAAAAGAAATAAACAGTTCCAATCTGGAGAAGCGAGAAATTGAGAGAAAAATAGACAAAAGTAAAAGAATGAAAGAGTTGGACTCAATGACCTGATCTGCCACTGCTCTTTTTCATTTTATTTTGTTGAGAAGAAAAAATGTTTATTAGTGAAAAGGAAATTACATCCATGGACAGGCAGTCAAAAGCAACACAAATGAAACTATAAAACTTCTGTTTTACAAAAAGAGTCATCAACGATAAGCTACAACGTATTACAACTCAGAACCATTTATCAATAATTACAACATATGAGTAGCTTCACCATTATTGTCCACAATTTTCTTCCCTTTGTTTTTGACAGATTGTTTATACCAAGTCCGAACAAAACTTTGTCCAAACATGCAATTTAGTATCATTGAAAAGGACACTAACCTGAGGAAAACCCAAGCATCCAACCATGAAATTCCCATCCTGTACAGAGGAAGCATAACAAAGTAAGTAGTTTAAAATTCTGGAATTTGTAAAATTTCTTGTTTGACTATCCTAATTCACATGTGATACCGGTGATTGAGATGGTGGTGGCAGTGCAAGTTATGGTCGCAATGAGAGTGACAGTGATGATGGTGCCAGTGACAAAGGTGGAGGCTGCAGTTGTGGTAGTGGAGATGGTGGTGGTGAGGTGTGGTTTGTACGGGTGCTGGTGGCAGCGACAACAATTGTAATGCTGAAGGTAGGAACGGTGGGAGCGAGGTGGCGATGGTAGTGGTGGCAATGAGACAGAGCAGCAGCAGCACTGGAGGCGGGATGGGGGGGGGGAGATGTGGGGGGCTGGCAGCAGTGGTGGAGGAAGTGAGCAGGTTGGAGTGGGGATAAGGGTCAGTTGCAGTGATGGTGAAGTCGGTGACAAGGTGGCAGCAGTGAGGCAGTAGCTGCGGTGGATGGGTTTGGACAATCTCATTGTCACGAGATTTTGGAAATGACATCTACTTAAATGGAATTATGTCGGAACTTATGACCCTCACATTCCATATGTTCCATTCTACACTGAATTTCATGACTCCTTTTTTATGATACCAAGCAAGCAAATTAGACATTATCATTTTCCAAATCTTGACTTTTGCCTAAACAACAATATTAATTTCCTCATCCAAACGCACTGCAAAGGAAATCCATTATGAGAGTGTGGAGAGACACAAGTTCAATAAACAAAAGCATCACTTTTTCTCGAAAGGTCTGGTAGAAGATGAACGTGTGATGATGAAGCTTATGGATTGAGGATGGCAAATTCTAAGAAAATTTCAAGCAAGAAACTTAGGAAAGAGTCAAACATATTTGAATTAGAGATTTTTATGATATAAATAATTACCCTATTTTGCCTAAGCACCATATCCGCTTCCTGGCAAAGGCCACATCGCCGAACGAACTCTCCAGATGCATGCTGCTCATCTCCACCAGACCTATTCGATCTGCATAAAAGGTGAACAGTGCATCATCATAGCAAAATATATACACCAGAGAAACAGGGAAAAAGTAAAATTACCTCTCAAAGAATACTGCCATGGCTTCAAAGAGTTTTACTTTGTTCAACCTTGCCTACAATCATTTCCAGGTTTTGTGAAAATCAAGGATCAAATCCATCAAGTTACTGAAATTTCGAGTTTTTGTAGCCACCAACATCAACAAGGGGTGGAAGGATATTAGCAACATCTTCGCAATAAGACACAGATTTTAATGGTTTTTGGTGTCAATCAGAACTCCCAAATTATTTTCAAAGGTTTTTGGGTGGATATTATTCCATGTAAATTTAAAAGGCTAAAGAATTGGTTTCTAGAAAAGACACTCTTAATAAATAAGTTTGACAGTAGAAAGCTAGCTATAGTGGGAACATAGGTAATGGAAAAATAATTTTCATACTATGTATGAAGCAGTTTGCACTATGTTTTTCGGCTAGAGGTGCAAAGAAAACTATCCTTATGGAATAAAAATAATGTTGCACGCTAGAATCCAAGTTTCAAGACCATATATGTGTCAGTCACATGCACTGCTTTCATCCTATGCATATATATATTTCACAAATATAGTAATTGGTTTAGCATTTCCTAAATTTTGTTTATCCATGTTTTTTGATAAATGTTCGTACCTGATATTTGATTTAGTATTTGATATTTTACTGATATTTTCATAAGTCAAAACTACCAAAAGTTCCATCGACACTGCAATTTTCATCCTTGGTGATAATTGGTCTAAAGTCTAATAGTTGGAACGAAATTAAAGTGCATAGGAAATTAAAATCATGAAAGACAGTAAAACATGTGCATATATGTGCGCATGAGAATAGTATCATGGAAAATATATATATATTTAACAGTACGTGAAAAAGCCAACTACAAACTTACATCTAGGAAGCAAGCTTTCATTTGCTGCAAGCAAGTTTCCAAAACTTCAGCTTTGCTCTTGGCACCTTCGCTAACTGCTTTCATGTCACGCTCCATAACAGCTCTAAGGTAGGGTTTCCAGAGTTTATACCTAGGAAGTAAAGATTCCCATAAATTTGATCACCATCAAATTTGAAAGACACATAAGTGAGAAAATATTACTTCCCTAGAGATTAAGTCATCAAAAATCATGGGAAACAAAAGTATCTGCAACTAAGTAGTGTTGTTTTTTCAGAAGAAACAAAGTTTATTGAACATATAAAACTGTACAACAATACAAGAGCAGAGGACTAGAAGTCCACTTCAAAGAACAAATGAAGAAAATAAAGCATTAGATAGCTCCAATAAAAGAGGTCTAATGCGCTCCCAATATAAAGTGAAAAGCAATAAACCCTCAACTCCAAATGAGTTCCGGCTGCTCTAAACCCAAATCCCAGGTAGCTCTAAGCCTTCACCCCAGGTATCATCAACAACTCTAAGCCACCAATCACCCAAGTTTCCAACTTCCATGAGCAAGAAGGATTTTTATCAGAAATAGTTTAATATATATATATATATATCTCTTATATTATAATTATTCGAGTCACAAATGACTTAAACCTCAAAGCCTTGCAAGTACTAAAATGCTCATATTACACCTTTGCCTTGACAACATTATACCCAGACACTCTAAGAATATGACTATAAAGGATATTTATTTTGATATGCTCATGGTGACATTTCTGTTGCAATGTTTTCATTTTCACTGTACAAAATTGTTTTATCATTTTTACAAAGGGAGTAGTAAATGCAAGTATATGAAACTACAGATACATGTACATGCTTGTGTATATGGGTCCAGCTTCCCTTTAGTTCTGGACAGGATGGAGAGGTTTGATCCAAATCAAGACCATTAATTGCTCGAAGGACCCGCATGGAGCCAGCCCCAATACTAGGGTTCTGGAGTCGAGGCCTTGATGGTACAAATTCAAGATTTCTCCATTTTTCATACAAAACGAGAGGAGCCTATTCCTATTTATATACCAATACCATACTAGCATGCAAATATTCATTCAGTTATAAAATATCTCATTTTGATAATATAACAAGCTGTACAGATTTCCAGGTATGCTAACAAAAATCAAAAGAAATCTCCATAAAAATCCTTGAATTATTTTCTTGTGGAAAAAATAAAAACTGATCCCAATGTGTTTGAGATAAGTAGATTAGGATTGAAGATACTATATTTAAGAATTGAAGATGAATTTGAAATTCTTACCCCATGTCATCATATCCCATCACCAACGCTTCACCCTGAAATCATGCCAAATTATCAATAGAAACTCCATTTCATTTCCTAGTAGGATGCAACAGAGAATGGTATGTCAAAGTTCACCTATCTTTGAGACATTTAGAAAATAAAATAAAAGCTACTAGAAACTCACAATTATTTCCTGCTACGCTAAGAAGATTTTGAAATATTATAAATTTAAAACTAGCATATTAAACGCAGTCGGGATAGAGAGGCTGGACAAAAGTCAATAAAGCCATGTTAGGATGTGGCATGCAATGTGTCAAGGTTCTTATTGATATGAAATAAAGAACCTCTTTTAGAATTTCAACTTAGCAAAAGGAGAAAAAGCGGAAGTGAAGTCCTTGGAACTTAAAGCCCTTACCAACAGGGACTTTAGGAGTCATTGTACCATCGACTACTCAATTGATATTTTAAAAGATTTTAAGGTAGTTTAAAAGTTCAGGTGTATTCAATCACAATTTTATAGAAGTCTATACAATTCTTGGTGTATTCAATTCAGACTTTTTAAACTCCATTCAAATTTGGATGTATTCAATCACGACTTTAAAAGACTTCATAAAAGTTTGGGTGTATTAAAAAAATAATTGATTTTAAAGGAAATACAAAAAGTGGTGGATTTCGTTTGATTATAACTAATTTTAGGCCATGACAAATCTTTGCTTCCCCAAGAGATTTTGATAGATATATTATTTTTATTCTCAAGATATGATTTCACCACTTCTACTACCACCATCTTATCATGGCTATCAACACCGCCGCCAGTCATCTTTGCTGCCGCCATCACCACTGCCATCACCGCCACCCCCAGCACCACCACCACCACCGCCACCTCCACAACCACCCACTGCCATCGCTACCCCCACTACCAGCCCCACCATCACCACACCACCCCCACCCCCACCCCCACCCCCACCACTACCACCCCCACTATCAGCCCCACTGTCACCACCGCCAGCATCATCACCATCACCGCCACCACCTCCACCACCACCACCCTATTGCCAATTTACACCCTGCAGTCTTTCTCCCACGGGTATGGGAACATCTCTGAAGTCGGGCCTTTACTCTAGAACATCCATTTCACATTGTATGGCAGCTACCCAATTCACATCTTGCAATGCCATTGCGACGGAGCATGGAATACAAATAGTGTGGCTCCCAAGAAGGCCCAATAGGGGGCAGAAAGGCGATAATAAGGGATTGTGTGTAAGTTCATTATTGCCATTTTGGTTAACTTGTATGATTCTTTGGCACACCTACTTCGAGGAAAGTTGTGCTTGGTTTCCAAAGAAGTTCAAAATCAGAGTGTATGCTGGGGTTACAGGGTTACGACGGCATTGCCTATATTAGATGTGTCATCTATAGGTACCATGGCTAGAACAAGGAGTCCATCTAGAACTTAGGCTTGGACTTAGAGAGATATTCTAGATACCTAAAAAATCCCTTTCGCTCGACCACATATTGTAGGGACTCAAGCAAACCTCTCATATTATAACATTGTTGGAATAGACCAGTTGTGTCACTAGTAGAATCATGTCATGGGAATCAAATCCATCATGACTTCAACCAACTTCGGGATTACGAAAACCAAATGCACAAAAAACCATTTCTTTCTTTAAAAATCCAAACGCAAGCTCGTTTAAGCCTTGAGTAAGAAAGTGTTGAGCTCCCAATTGAGAGCTTAGCCCCCCAAGCAAGTCTCCCCTCCCAAGACCCCCAGATTAGTAAAACTACCATTAGTTTCCATGAATAGGACTTAAAAGAAAAAACACCTGACTATTCCCACTCCAAAATTATCCCATCCTTGCCTAGATGGGACCAACAAGGCATTTTATTGAAAAGACCTTTTGAGAACTGCATATAACCTTAGAATTTTATTTCCCACTTTCAATTCTAGTACTACCTAATTGTCCTTCAATCACTAGGATATGAACTGGGAAACTGAACAACAAGAGAATAATCATGGGCAAGCCACAAACAAAAAAAAAGCAAAATTGAAAAAACAATATGAAGAAAAACTACGTGAAGAAGATTAAACAGGATCAAATCAAGCAAAGAATATATCATATAATTGTAGCCAGAAAAAAATTTACAAGATTGGTTGGTGAGAACCGCATGCTTGAGTCCTTTGTTGCATAAAATCGATCAAGCAGCTTTTTTATGTGATCATGCATTGTTGCATCTGTACCAATGCCCTCCTAATAAATCAAGCAAAAGATCAGAAAATATATTAATATCTGAGAAATATTTACCATCCACAATGAGGAAAAAAGGTGGTTTTTGTCTAAAGAAATGCCTTGAGAAAGGGCATATGTAAAGAACCTTTCAACAAGATAGTGCTTTTTCAACTCTCTCAAAATAGAATATATTCCAAACTTAATACACCTTTGAAGAAAGTATATATGCAGCATATATACATGAACACATGAACAAATATCATTGCAACTGCCTAAGAAAACAACTGAAAATTTCATAGAGTCAATACAAGAATCATAAGCCAGATCAAAATATATTTTCCACCTTGTCCATACAACTCAGCAAATCAGCTTCACTCAAAAGTGGTGGAGGCCTTGTGACTCCTGAATCCAGAGTCAATGTTGTTGGGACAAACTGCAACGTAACCAATTAAGGTTTTAATGTATATCAGATGCATGGGTTTTATGATGCAGTCTACAACATAAAGCAGAAGATTTTTATTTTTATTTTCAGCCACTCATAAAGCAGAAGGTTATCCACAAGGTTCAGAACGTAAAAAATTGTAATTTGAATTGTTAGAATCTGTGTTTTCTCTTCTTTATTTTTCTTTTTTCTCGTTCTGTGTGTGTGTGTTTAAAAGTATCAAGACAAGTTCTTTAAAATATGGATCTGAGTTTCAATACAAATTTTTGTAGAGATCAAACTTTTATGTCCATCACATCATCACACCTACTAGAAACAAGATTGAACTTTTTAAACCATATCATCCATCACGATTGTTAAAGCTCACCTAATAAAACATACCTCAAAAATCACAAATAACATAGCCAAACTTTTACTTTCTACAATTTGATAGCATAATTGACAATATGAGTAACACAGTTTTATCACTTGATCTAGTAGTTCAGCCACACATTCACTCCTGAAATAATTTATATTAATGGGTAGAATAAATATTTGGATTCATATGCTAGTTCATGGATTCATCTCACTGCTAGGACATATTAAATGACTTGTGAAATGGTGACAGAGCAGATCATTTATACAGGAATGGTATAAAACAATAATTGAACTCCAATTGGAAACTTAGATGAATAGGTTGGTTTAATGACAAATGAACACACCTGTTGTCCAACTTCATACGTTGGTAGCAATGAACCTCCCCATGATTCAAAGCGATAAACATCTAAGTAATTTTTCTGATAAAAAGGAAGGAATTGAATCAAGTACAAAATGCCAAACACTTAGCTTATTTTCCAAACATATAAACGTAGTGCCAAACCTTCAAACAGAGACAGAAGTACTTGCAAGTTGTATGAGCACAATGAAAATGTTGAAAAATAGAATAACCTCCCTTTTTCTTTGCTATTATTCTTGTCCATAATTCATGAAAGAAATGTAAAGCTAACTTAGGAAATAACATAGGGAACAAAAATTACTCCTAATTGCATAACCAGCTCCTAAATTACTATATCAGAAAGCTAAGTAATTTTTAATCCCATACTTTACTCAAACCCATAATCAAGGATCAATTATAGGCTTATCTAGTCAACACTTTCCTACTTTCCAACAGAAAGCATATCAAACACACAGCAGGACAGATAAGACTGCAAGGCCCAAGGATACTGCTATTCAATTTTTCAGTCTAGAGGTGGTGTAGGACCAAAAAAGAGAAAATTAGAAGAGAGATAGAACAATGAAAGGGAGAATAAGAGAAATGATGAAGATAAATTAAGGAAAATGTAAATTCAATTCATTAATCAAGTCTACTTCCTCGTTAAAGTAAGGCTTATTTGTATAATAGACAATCCAAACTCAATAAGAAAACCCTAAGGTGGTGTTAGGTTGGCATAAAAGGAATAGGAATGGGAATGGGTGTCTGGTTGGTGGAATAGGAATACGAATGGGAAGGGGAATAGGAATGGAATAAAATAAAGTCAATTATTTTGTTGAAGAAAGATAGAACTAGAAATGGAATCAATTATGATTCCATTCAGTGTTTTGCTTTACCTTCGGAGAGGAATCAAATGCTAATCCAAGACTCCGGACCCCATACCCGGAACATGGATGCGAGACCCTGGTCCAGAGTCAAATTGGGGGTCTGGCATCCAAGGCTCTAGGGTCAAATGTCTCGCATCCACTGTACTGAGTTCGGAATCCAAGTCCGGGGTTTCGATTTAGCATCTAGAGTCCAGGTTCCCCAGTTTGAGACCAGAGTACCAAATTCAGGGTTTCAGGCCCCAGAGATAGGTCCAGGTCATAGGTTTGAGGTCTGAGGCACTCCATTTCATTCATGTTAACAAAACATCACCTACTAGTAATAACAAAATAAATCCTCAAACCCTAAGTCGCACACATAAGGTACAAAAGAGACTTTCCAAACATAACACCTACATCACCTACATGCAGTTAATGCTTACAGAGTTTCCAACATTGCACTCAAAATAATAACACTTAGCCAGCGACCTAAGAATTACTCAAGAAAGACAAATCTGCATTAAAAAAAAGTAACACTTAGCCAGCGACCTAAACAAAAATACTCACTAGCAAATGAATAATAATCATCACGATTCTTTTCCAAAAAAAATTCACTACGGTTAAAAATTTGACTCCAAACAGTGAAGAAGAATGAAGACTGGAATAGAAAACTCACTGCTACTATCACTCTCCCTGATGCAAAGAACAATTCACCAGCAATATCGATTTCAACAGTGGTTTCAGCCCCAACAGCTGGCTGTGAGACACATGCCAAGAAATGGCGAACAACCAGTTCATACAATCTCTGAAAAAGAAAAAAAGATGACAATAGGATTCAAGAAAAACAAAAACATGTCTCTCAGCTCAGATCAAATAAAAGTGCAATTGAAGAATATGCGATCAAAAGATCACCTGTGCATGCTTTAGACTACTTACATGGTGATCTTGACTCCATCCTGATTCTCCGGAAGAAAATTTGGTTGGGTGAATAGGTGGATGGGCCTTGTCATCATGTCCACCATTCCTAGGGTTTCTCCAAAGCCCGGATGCAGGGTCTAACAATCTTTGAGCATATGATCCCCATCCAGGATGCCCTTGTTGCTCTTGTACAATCGCCTACATCAAATTAAGATACAACTGATTAGTTATGCAGCAAAAGGTACGAAATTATTACCAAAATAGAGTTGCAAGGACCAAGATAGAGATGGAAACAATACTGCATTCAATGAGGCTAAAAACCTGAAGAGTGCAAAGGCAATAAAAATGAGAAACTATGCCTCTTTTTTTTTCTTGTAAAAGAAGAAACTATGCTAATTTGTGATAACTAGTGTAAAAAAGGGAACTTTAAAGGCCTTGAAAGAAAAATCATTTCATGTTCAATGAGTTATAATAGCATTTCAACAATAACTGACAGCTTGTTTTGGTAAGTTACTGTTTAGCTTCCCTTCCTGTCAGAGTTTAATTACACTGATGTAGAACCCAGGGAGAGAGAATTGAAAGGGTCAGTCAAAGAGAATAAATAGCTCTACAAGGAAAGCTAAAATTTGAACTTAACTTTTTGTACAGACACACGTTTTATTCTTGTATCTATATGAATTAGTTCTCTCTGTGAATTCTATAAACATTCTTATTCTATATTCTTCATCATTTCTCTCACATTGAATCCGCTTAAATTCACTCCTTTATATTTCTAGTTCTTTTATCCAATATATATCGAAATCTTAAATCGAAACAATCCAAATGCTGTCAATAGTTACTACTGCGCGAACCAGTCACATATTTTGGGATTATCAACAGAAGAAAAAGTTACTAACATGCAAATTGGTCCTTTCAGAGAAGCTATCAGTCTCCGTACGAGGGTAACTGATGAAACCAGCTTGGTAAAGCTCTTCTGCCACCTACAATCAGTAAGAGTGAGTGAGTGTAGATATGAGGACGTGATTGAAAACACAACCATAAAAACATGTCAATTGTCAACTAAACTGCATATGCAACTAGAACTTAAGAAACTGGATGATGCCCCACTGTACAGGAAACGATAGACCCCTTTTCTTTTTCTTTTTTCTTTTCCTTCTCTCTGGAAGGGGCTAGGGGAAAAAAGAGGAGAGATAAAATTATAATGGCGCATCACTGATCCAAAATATTTGCAAACATACCCTATAACCAGCTGATTTCAGAAACCCTAAGACATATTTAGCTTCAATCAATTATTAAGAGATCCTATGAAAATAAATTATGAGACAACCATTGAAAACTCTAAAGCCTAGAGATACTATGAGAGGAAAGAATTGGATTGACTAAATGGCAGGACCCAGTAGAAGGTAAAGCCTCAAAAATTGCAGACAATGCTTCAGTCTAGAAACCCCAGTGCTAATATTGGGGAAGCAGATGGCAGAAGGCTGATGATGTGTATCATTATCACCAATATCCATAACTTAAAGGCATTCACATATAAAGACATGCATGGATGGACAGTCAAATTATTGGGATAAGTATGAAACATGTGAAATTGAATTTATCAATTTAAGCTGTAACCCATTAACAGGCATAAAACAGGAAGACACAACATTGTGGCCCAAGTGCTCACCTTCATTGTGTGTTCAGAACTCATCCGAAAGTATATCGAGGCACGCTTTTCAAGCTGAATGGTATTCAAAGGCGCTGGAGCATACTTCAGCTTCTCCTGTTGTCTCACCGTTGTGACCTGTAAGCAACTGAAAATGTTAAAGCTGAGAGTGCATTAGTTAATATGAAATTAGCAATACACACAAACTCAACATGACTCACAGTAGCAGTAGGTTCCTCAACACACATCTCATAAATTATAACAGCACAAGTGTAATCGAAAAAATGTCCACGCCTGCAAATCTAGAATATTATAAAACTTTAAATGGTTGCTGAAGCTGGAAAGAAGAACATAAAGTCTTCACACTTTACATCCAATTGAATGTAGCAACGCCTTCATCTGATCTGTGTGAACAGTTAATGGTCCAAAATTCCTCCGGCTCATGCGACTGTATCTCCCAATATCGTTCCACAACAAATCCAAGTGTAGGGAACTGTATTGCATAAAAGGAACAAAAGGTAAAAATGCATACAGAAGTGTAGACAACTGAATTAAAAAGGGGGACAAATGATAAATGCAGAATTCTCATACCTGACAAGGACCATAACTTAGAACAAGATTTCTGTCATTTGTAGCAGACTCAATAACAAATGCATCTCTGAGCAGCATAGTCTGAAACCTGGTAAACGAAGCACCAATTCGAAGGTCTATTTCCTGCCAAAGAAATTAAAAAAAATAAATTTTATCTGACATAGGAAAATAACATGGCCATAAAATGATAGACAAACAATGTTAGTATGAGGACATGATTAACAGTGGTCCCTTGAGTTACTAAGCAAGAGTGATGAAGAAGTAAATGGCCTATAGCACAAAAAACTAATAACCTAATTTTCAGTTCCCTGAAGTATATAGTTTTATATAAACTAGTAAACTAACTTTGAAGTTGCCAAAACAACACAAAGAGAGTCTAGTGATGAAAGGTACTGACTTGCCTAGCATCCACTGCATCCGCAAAGCATTTGTTTGGGTTGACAAGATTCTGCACTGCATCATGGATATCTCTGAAATAAAAATTAAATCAAATACTACACAAACTGATACCCAAGGAAATCGGAAATTTGGAATTTCAAGGAAAGGAACAAAAGAGACTAGGGTACAGCACCTCTCAATCAAAGCTGAGAAACGAGCCCTCCTTAAGGTAAGTTGACGATTTACGGCTGAGCAGACTTCTATCACTTCAAATGCAATGTTTTCTCCTTCTCTATCACAGTCAAGCCACAATACAAGCCATTGGCACCCCCTAGCTACCTCCTCTAACGTCCTCTTGATATCCAACTTGTCCTAAATTATTTGAATTTGAAACCAACAGACATGTATAATTTCATCAAATTCTGCCCACGGTAAAAAATAAGTGGCAAACATTGCTGCTGCATATTCAATTGCAGATTTACACACCCCTGTTATACCATACATCTTTGACAAGAAGTTATCTCATCCCTCTAATGTGCATCCAACAAAATAATAATGTATTTCCATACGATATCCATGAAAGCTTCATACTTTTTTATCACATTATTCACAAGCACCCTAATAGTCTCCGTCTCAATCCAGAAATGATGAATTTGTTCACTAAAAATCAAATTTTCAAAATAGTAAAAATTTGCAAATACTTTTCTGATCACACACTCCACACACACACACACACACACACACACACACACAAAAGAACACCCAAATTTTTCCTACTTACAAACTCTGAACTTGACAAAACCACCAATAAGAAGACAATATATCAAAACCTAGCCATAATATATCAAAAACCCAGACATACATACTAGACTGAGAGAGAGAGAGAGATAAAGAGAGGGAGATTGGGAAGAAATGGAGGAGGTGAGGTGACCTGAGGGACGAACTTGCGTACGGGAGCGGTGAAGAGAACGGCGGGGTCGCAGGCGTGCCACTTGCGGAAGCGGTCTTCAAATTCGAGCTCCATGAGGTGGCCAGTGACGGAGGTGACGAGCATGTGGCAGGGGAGGCCATTGATGGAGTAGTTGAACTCGTAGATTTTGTTGTAGCGGGATCGGCCTTCCCTCATTCTCAGATTTTGGTTCCCTGAGAGTATGCTCGCCACTGACTTCGCCACTGACGGCTTCTCCGCCACATTCAGCACCCTCATTCTTCTCAGCCCTCTTCTCCTCTCCTATCCTCTACAACACCCGCTGCTCCTTCATTAGATTTACCATTATTAGCTTATTGCGCCTTTTCTCTTTCTTCAACCACACAGAGAGAATCAGACACTGGATTTTCCCGCCCGACTGGAAAGTCCCATTTTGAGGGTTTTTAGCGTTCTTTTTTATTTTGTTGCTTTTTTATTTTCTTTTTAAGTAAAGCTTTTATTTTTATTTTTATTTTTATTTTTATTTTTATGTAAGCTATATTGGGGAAATCGAACCTAGGAACTTGGGTGCAGGGTAAATGCTCTTAACCATTTAATACACTTTATCACACAACACCCTATTATAAGAACATTAAATGACACCTCTTTCTGCCTCCTAAAGTGCTTGTTGCGTTGTTTTTGGGCACCAAGTAATACGAAAATTTTTCTACGTTTGATTAGGGTTGAAAGATCTCAAGCCTCTACATTTAGTGTTTGTACATTTACCAACATTTCACAATAGCTAGATCATTCTTATAATCTAACTATTTATGACATGACACATCATCATTTTTTTTTCTTTTTATTTTAAAATTAACAATTACTATATCGTTCAAAAAAATTAAGTAAATACAAATCAAAAATCATGTTGTTGCCATCATAGGTGGGGGGGCTCAAGATGAGGCTACTCCAATCTTCACATTCATTCATAGTGGATCCTTCTTCTCCCTATAGCAGAGACATCAATTGGTTGGTGGGTTTCATCCCCTAACTAGAAGATTGTTTTAGAGCTCACTGGTGTAGTCATAGTTGGTGGGTGCTTGTGGAAAAGGGGAAGGAAAAAGAGGAGTTAGGTTTTTAGTGTGCCAAATCCCATCCCTACAGTCCTTGTAATGACTAGGATCACAGGAAGAGACAAATGTTTTGAGAGAGGCATGACGGTATGAGATGAGTAGTGTCGAGGTGGGTAAGGGTGGCGGGGATAGGGATTGGGAAGGGGAGTTGGCTTTTGTAGTATTTTTTTTAAAAAAATTTTTTTGGCTTTTATAGTTTTTAGTCTTATTTTTTAATTTTAGATTGAAATAAAATTTCTATTACTTCATGTTATTAGATTTTTGAAGATTTCCTGATGTTTGAGCAAAATTCCGCTCGGGAATATTAGCACGTAGATTCTTTGACCCTCGAACTTCCTTCCCCTTCTTCTCCATCAATCCTTGTGGGAGCAAATAATCTAGCTTCCAATCACAAGGCGCCACGTGGACAAGAAGAATATCTCCTAGGTTAATTAATTGAGCCCATTTATTTGGCCAATTAATTTATACTAAAAATATGGATATTATCTTAAATATGGTTGGGAATATAATCGCTAATTTAGGATATTATCCTATTTCGGAGATATCATCATCAATTAGTGATTTGATCCCAATCAAATCCCTAATTAATTCAATATCTACAATTTGGGAAAATAATATATTCCTTCCAAATAAGAAGATATTCTTTGAAAAACCATAGATGCCTAGAGCCCTATAAATACATAGCATCATTCAACACACAAGGTAATTCAAAAATTCCTCTCTCAACCTAAAAGCACCTGAAACCTCTCACTCTCTCTCTCTCTCTCTCCTAGCCGTCGGCTTCTCCCAAATTTGTCTCTCCCACACGGCTAAGTGTCACCATACACTGCTCCAGCCACCCGGTTCTCCCCAAAGAGAAAACTTTGTACCTTTTTTTAGCTATTGTTTCTCAAGGATGCAATTGAACTAACTTAGGTTGGCCAACACCCCCAGGGTGTGGTCTTTTACTCCTATTTGATTTTACATGAAACGAGGAAGAGAGAGAAGGAAGTTCAAGAGGCGAAGGATCTACAAGCGAATATTCTCCCTAATTGATTCAATCAAAACTTTTCTTATTTCACAAGGTTTTGGGCCTCAAGTTATAACCTAATTTAAACTCTTATCAAACCTGATATAATTTAGTACCTAGTGCATCGATCTAAATAGGAATATAACATTCTCCCACTAGATCAAGCACTAGAGCACTAAGCTTATGTATTGCAAAAGTTTGATAATCCTTATTAGCCATGAGTTTAAAATAGTTAAGTCATTCTCTTCAAACTACAGTGAAAAGCGATTAGACAAAACAAACTATAGACAAGCACTGCTCTTCTTTATTAAAAACATGTCATCTATAATCACATAATGCAATCTCAAAACACATGAAGCACCTACAAATGTGAACCTTAACATGTACTAATCCGTAATGTGAATCTTTATGCTTTCTAGTACATAGACCCCTTTACGACTTAGCAAGAGTCAATCCGTAATGTTATTAAAATAATAGTATCTTAAAGAGACCATAATCTCACATATATAAACCAAATGCATAATAAGTTTAAACATCTAAATAGTCAAAATGGTAGAACTTATTTAATAATAAAAACAGTCAACCAAATTAATATCCTTAAATGCAAATCCCTCAATCTAGAAAATAACAAAATAAACATACTAGAAAAATATCATAATTGGAACAAGACTCCCACTAGATTGCAGCATCAAAGCTAGGAAATAATCTCATGCTCTCAACATGTCTCAGAAAAGCTTCTAAAGGCAGAAAATTTGTAAACGGATCTGCAATCATATTTTGAGTTTCTGATATGATCAAACCTGACTAGTTTGTGTGCTACCTTCTCCCTCACTATTAAATACTTTCTGTCAATGTGCTGAAGTCCAGGAGACATCTTGTTGTTCATGCAGTGAAAAACAGTCGTAGTGTTGTCATTATATATCTGTACTGGTCTTGAAATCGAGTCCATCACCTTAATGTCTTTGATAAAATTACTTAACCATACTGCATGAGAAGTGGCTTCATAGCAAGCTATGTATTCTGAAAACATAGTTGCACTCTTCTAAGCAACAACTGCTCCTGCCATCTTGAAAAGAAAACCTGAAGTAAAGATGTAACCATCCTCTGCTTTTCCAAGATTCGCATCAGGATAGACAACAAGCTCCAAACTCTTTGTGTGTCTGTAAATCAACATGTAAGCCTTTATTCTTTATAGGTACCTTAGAATATTCTTTCTAGCTATTCAATGTTGCATTCCTAGATTTGACTGAAATCTCTCTGTCTTGCTAATGCACAAGGCTAGGTCTGGCCTTGTACATACTTGTGCATACATAATGCTTCCAACTAGATAAGCATACGGCTTGTTCCTCATCTTAGCTTCTTCTCTTCTTTATTCTTAGGGAAATGCTCTTTCTTCAAATCTCCCTTAGCCAATAGAACTTTCTATCGGTAACACATACTTATATCAAAACGTTAGAGTACCCTTTCAATGTATATTTTTTGTGACAAGCCTAGTAGACCTCGAGCTCGGTCTCTCTGAATTTCAATGCCTAATACAAAAGCAGCTTCTCCCAAATCATTCATCTCAAAATTGTTTGAAAGTAACTCCTTAGTATGCTTCAATAAATTAGGATCATTTGTAGCCAAAAGTATATCATAGACATATAACACTAGAAAATAAATCGGCTCCTACACTTCTTCAGATAAATGCATTGATCGGTTATATTCTCTTCAAAGCCATAGGATGAGACAGTTTGATGGAATTTTAAATACCACATCCTACTTGCTTGCTTTAGTCTATAAATCGCCTTGTCAAGTATGCAAGCCATATGCTCTTTTTCCTCATTTGCAAACCATTCAAGTTGCCTCATAAAATTTGATTCTTCAAGTAAACCATTCAGGAAGGCAGTTGTTTACATCCATTTGATGTAAAAACAAGTCATAATGCGCCACCAATGCCATAATTGTACAGAAATAATCTTTGGTGGAAACTGGGGAAAACGTCTCAATGTAGTCAATTCCCTCCCTTTGGGTGAATCCTTTTGCTACCAATCTATCCTTAAATCTTTCCATTTTTCCATCATTATCCTTCTTTATTTTAAATACCCATTTCGAGCCTACCAATTTCTAGGTCTTGTGAGGTTCAACTAATTCTCATACTTAATTATTCTTCATGCTTTTGAGTTCATTTAACATTGATTCCCTCCATTTTTCTACACATTGACTCTCTATAACTTCTTTAAAACTTGTTGGATAAGCTAATCTCTAATGTCAAAATATGTTTCTTGTAGGTACACATAATTTGAATTTGATGTGGATCTTCTTGGTCTGTCAGATCTCCTCAATTGTATTGGTTCTGTTAAATTTTCTATTTGAGGATTTTCTGTAGCTTGTTCTTGTTGTTGGTCAACTGGTTCTTTGAATTGTGGAGGCTCCAATTGATCATTTTGAGGGGCTGGTGTGATATCACTTAAGGGAATCAATGGTACAACATTTGGTTCAGCATTCTCAATCATAGCTACATTCCCTTCTTCTTCAAAAATAAAATCTTCATATCCAGTAGGATTCTCATCATGTTCTATAAACTTTGCATAACCAGTCTCAACAATTCGGGTACCATAATTTGGATAATAAAATCTAAAACTCTTTGACCTTGTAGGATAACCAATAAAATAGCAGCTAATCGTTTTAGGATCAAGCTTCTTCTCTTGAGGGTTATAGATTCTAACTTCAGCCCAACAAACCTATACATGAAGATGTAGCAAGCTAGGCTTTCTGGTGGTCCAAATTATAAAATGTGTCTTAGCCACGGACTTATTAGGCACTCTATTAAGTATGTAGTTTGTTGTTTTGATCACCTCTCCCCAAAGATGCATAGGCAAATCAGTTTTGGAAATCATTTTACGAACCATATCCTTCAAAGTTCAATTTCTTCTCTCAGCCATACCATTCTATTGCAGAGTTTCTGGCGTCGTGTACTGAGCATTTATTCCATTATCTTATAGATACCTAGCAAAAGATCTAGCACATCGTCCTCCTTTATCAAAACATCCTTCTTCATCAAAACGTCCATAATATTCACCCCCTCTGTTTGACCTCGCAATTTTGATCTTTTTGTCTAGTTGCCTTTCAACTTAAGTTTGAAAAATTTTGAGCATCTCAAAAGCTTGAGATTTTTC